CCGAGAGAAAGAGAAAGAAAAACTTTTGACGCATTGAGAAAAAAAGCAGGACGAGCAAAGGTAAACTCTCGGGCACTCCTAATATTGACTCTAAAAATAAGAGCACGTCTGTACGATTGGTTTATGTATCCCGAGCTCGTCTGAGTGTGCGTGTGTGTGTGTGTGTGTGTGTTTGTGTGAGCGAATGTGTGCATACGCGATTTGCGCTTTGATGGAGATTATACTCGTTCTCTATTTCCGTGCTTTTGCGTCATGAATCAACTGACGTAAGGCTTCGTTCGTTCGCGAAGCGCGCGCGAGAGTTCAAGAAACTTTCATCTATATATTTCTTCGTAAGTTTATCACTACGCCGATATTTGTAATAATTTAGCTTGTATGTGCGTGCATATTATTTTATATATATTGCAATAGTGGAATCCGACGCACGTTGGCTCGAGTCCAAAATTGCGCGCTCGTGTGTGCGTGACGCGGCGCAATTATTTCGGGACACGAACTCTCTCGCTGACTATAATTACCTCTTTGTGTCGCGTGGGGGCTCTATTACGCATTGTTCTTTCTTTCGCTATCTATCAGTCTCTCCGCGGCGGCGACACGAGTGATCAAAAATAGAACAACCGATGTAATCGATCTAAACCCTCCCCCCCTTCATCGTACGTTCTACATTATATACGCGCCTTTGTAAATAACCTTTATTTACGGAATTTTTGAATTTTTAATTAACCTTGACAGTGAAGATTTAATTATTTTAAGCCAGAAAACTGGTTTTTGTTTGAGTTTCTTCTTTCTCTTGCTGGTCTGTGGCTTTGATTATACAGGTGTTAATAACACTCGAGTATCTCTCTGTGCCAATGTGTATACAACCATGACTCTAAACTAACCGCAAACAGATAATGGCATTCTTTTATTTCTAACTTTGCTCGTTCTTAGAATGTATTCTTATCGATTTAAATTACAAACATGTATAGTGTGTACATATAGACACACACGCCGATGTATACACAATTAATTATATACTATTTATACATTTGTACTTACACGTGCGATTCTTACGTAATGCGCCGGGTGCGTTACGCGTCGCGCGACATGTTTATGGAAATAATTCCGCGAACGAAAAAAAGACAATTTCGCGATCACTCGCGCGGATAAGCTAAGTGAAAAAAATCTCAACGCTTCCTGCTGTTGCTCGACTACATAGTAATCGTGATATTCTGTATTCTGGGTCAACGCGTGCGACTTTCGGCGCTTATTCGACCCGTGAAAGTTGAAATTCATGTACTCCAGCGATCCAATCGATTCACCCGTTTGAGCTTACTTGATTTTTCTCTTGAACAAATGCGTATGATGCATACGAGCAAACATTGTAAATCGTTTCAATTTTTGTTATCTGCTGCTGTAAATACAAATGAGTAAGAGTGACGAGTCGTAGATGCAACAAAATCATTGATACTGATAAACAAAAAAGCTTCGTATCTTTTAAGTCGAGGCAGATTATTAATGCACACGATAAAATATAGCCCAAGATAGCTTGTATGCGAATACAAAGTAAAACGATGCACGGTGAACGAGAAAATTTAATATATTTTGACTTTTTTGAGCTTTGCATAAAATTTCCAAGAAACGATGTCAACACGAAAATAAACACGACTATCGATTCACTTGGCGATATTACACAATTAAGACGATTCCGTTCGAGTGTACGTGCTGCTTTCTATATGCACAAATTATTATTTCTCACTTCTTTGTGCAGCAGTTGCAACTCTCGCAAAAGTGCATAATTCACACCAATACGATAAAGTGCCTATTATACGCTCGCGAACTCGCACATGCCTTTCAAAACGAAATAGCGAGAGAACTCGTTTCAATTGTGCATGCGTACGTAAATGTTTACGTAATAGGCTATTATGAACATTCCATGTTACTACTGAAAAACGTCCGATTTATACAATTTTTTTTCTTTTATTTTTCCTTCTTCTTTTCATTCTTACCCGGATTAATAATAAGTTTCCTACTCCGAGTCATCTCTCTCTCTCTCCCTCTCCCTCTTATAAGAGAGACCTTGGCGTGCTCGAGCGAGCGTGTCTGCATAACGCGCGCGCGCGCGTTCACCTAACCTTCGTATATGTGTATACGCGCGCGCGCGCCTGTGTGTATGGCCCACAAACGCGATTGTACATACAATCAAGCCGGCGATAACGATCATTGCCTTGTATTAGTCGTAGAGTCGTCGTCACGCGATATGTACTTTTTTCATAATGCACCTTTTTACTCAGCCTGCATTTGTACGTGTGTACCATGAAACTTCTTGCAGATATAAATTGGCGAAGCAAGCGCGTACAGTGCAATCTACGCTTTCTGCACTCACGACGATGCCGATGATAATGATGATGACGACTGTTTCTTTTCCGACTAGCGGGAAATGCTTGTATTTTTCATTTCTTTCTTTAATTTTAGTTACGATTATTTAATATCGATAAAGCGTGAGCGTTTGTGCATATTTTATATCGAATCAATGAGAGTCCGAAGTTTGGAAAAACTTCTATTCGATTTTTGCATGGAATCGACGCGAGTCAACTAGAGATTAGAACGCTTTTGCTGTTTATGCTTCGAGGAAAACAGTACATCAAAATTCCTGTAGATTAGCCGAGGGTTGCAATCGATCATATAATTTATGTCGCTCGTTGACGTGTTTATATATACGTAAACATTCAGACACATGCACACTATACATGAGAAATTCACGCATATATAACATTTTAAAATGAAAGTCGACCTTGTCGTCTACGCTGACTGACCGATAAATCAACTCCTTCGCATAAATCCATAATATATATAAACATAGGCGCCCATGTTACAATATGATAATAACATAATTCTTCTTTTAGCTTAGCGTCTGTAATGTTGTATACATATAGAGTACATTCTACTACGCGAACAATGCGAAATGCGCAATTTTTGTTGAATCATTGTGCTTCGCTCTGACATACGACGATAACATGCACTACGAATATATTGTGCCCTGCTCTTTTTCTTTTTACCGTACAATATTACCACATTTTCTCACGTCATTAGCTACGTCGCGATCGCGCATGATATTATATGTGTGAAGTCCAATTAATTCTTGAAAAGTCTATGTATAATCCTATCCTATATTGTATGATGATTGAGTGTAGGATTATACGTTAGATGAATTAGGAATGTATAGATACACGTACCGTTAGAGATAGAGGCTTGATTTAATTGAAAGAAATATTTCAGCCAAAGAAAGTTTTTATATTGTTATAAGTTTAACTAAAAACTCAACTGATTACTATTATGTTGAACGAATTTTTGTTGATTTTTCTTCTTTTATCGATACTTGTTACATTGCTTTAAATGTTAGCAAGGTCATCAATGGTCAGATGATTTTTTAATTTTAATCATTGATGAATTATGCTGGTACATTTCTTTTTGTTTGATTATAACCAATACATTTATTATAAAACTTTTTCAAACATTCTTGTCTTTTTTGATAATGTTTGTGAAATACGTTTTCCTTATCAAAAAGTGAATTACGACGTTCAATTAGTGTTTATTTATACTCTCCAAATGTCGGCCAATTTTTTGGCCCCATTGAACGTAAATTACAAAGCCAAGGATTCACAATTGTGATTTGAATTTCATTAAAACTACGTTCACCTCAGTTGTACCGTCATTCCCGGGTCCTCAGCAAATCGAAGTGAGCTAGGCTCAGCAATTTGAGGTGGTTTAAAAACGTGGGATTGCATAAATTACATGGGCTCTATAGGTGCACCCAGTATGCTCTTGAAAAAAGTCTTCCATTAATTATAATCGTTTTTAGTTTGCTTTCTTATTTCATAATTCTCATTTTTTAAACAAGTTTTTAATACTATAAGTGTAGGAAAATCGAATGTAATCTAAGTTCTAAAAAATTTTTTGCGATCAATTGATGAGTGAACATAATCTTGTTCGTTATTGTTTTTCTAAAAGTTGTGCTTGAAAGACATATTTTTTAAATTTCTCTGTAAACTATCTCATATAATAGTTATTCTTATGGGCCACCTCAAACTTGAATAACCTGTTGTAAGAATGAATTCAGAAACCACATAAACTCAAGTGTGTGTATGATCACGGCAAGAACGATTAATAGACTTTCAAATCAAGCTGCCAATGATAATCATTGTCCTCAAAAATTCTTCTTAGCAATAATAAAGACAAAATTTGAGGTAGAATTAAAGAACATACAAAATTAAATAGTATATGCCTATATAGTGTTATCCCTAGGCACAGGTGGATTAAAGAGCAGATATTTTTTTTAATTCGGTTCATAGAGAAATGCATATTATTTACAAAATAAGGTTCTCTTTTAACACAATGTGCTTTTATTGTGTGAGAGTCTTGTAAAAAAATAAAAGAACCAGATTAGAAATTTTTTTAAACTCCATTACAAATTTTTGTGACGTTATTTAAATAACAAAAAAGAAAGTTTAACATTCGTTAAAAGTAGTCAAGTTTTTCGGATGAAAAATAAAAATCTCGATTGTCATTTGAAGAAAATTGAGTAATTGATTGTGAACATGAAAGTATTTATTTGAGGTTTTCTTTGAGATTAGACTTCGCGTTATAATTCAAAGTAACGTAAACTTTTTTCGCGTTTCGAGACTAATTGTTATCTTAATTGTTTTGAGCTGTCAAGATTAATGATGTTTACATTAATTTCTTTTTTCTGCGTACATCTATATATACTTCCAAAATGTATCACAGCTTTTATTACGAAAAAATTGCCATTCGATAAGTTTTAGACTAATTATACGAGTTTGCGTGACGCATGATATAATTCGAAAACAAGAAAACATTTTTCCGGCTGCATTCGAAGAAATTGCGTAAGATCTAGATAAAAGTTTTTATCGAATGGTCGAATCGTGCTGACATTTTAATTTGAAATCAGAAATACATTACGTTTTAATAATTTTTTAACCTAATATTTTATTTCTGTTCAACAGGGAACGAAGAGAGGTTGAGGTTCGTGACATGGAATCACGTGAGGCTAAGTTGGAACGATTAGAAAAGCAGATAGCAGCGGAGCAAGCCGTTCATAAACACTTTGAGGAGTCGTTCAGGGTAGCGAAGTTGGTGAGTTTTATTTCATTTTATAAATTTGATTTTTTAAAATAGTATACATTTCTTTTACTTGGAATCAGCCGATGAGTTACGAATCGTTTTAATAGTACCAATCTTTTTTCAACACAATATTTTTCAATTAGCAATCGTGCGTTGAATATTAAATGTAACGGTATTTTTAAAATATAAACAAGAAAAATTGAAGATTATATTGACCATAAAGTTATGTAAAATGAAAGGTTGAAATTAATTTTTTTGTTATTTATGTGAAAAACAATTTAAATTTTTTTTACGTCTAAATAATACAAATTTGGTTCTCGGGTATATTTTAAATAACTGAGTAAAATTTCCATTTAAGAAGTTTCAAAAAATGAGTAGGGTTTTTTCTTAAATCCTTCAAAAAAAGGTTGGACAAAAAACCGTGAAATGTTTATTTCAAATTCAAAACAGTATAGGCAAAGAGGTGCGAAATTTTATAACTAGCTCTGAACAATGTTTTGCAATTGCCAAGAACTTGTTTATAGTTTTTATTTTAAAACCTTTGATTCTTCGACATATTCTTCTTACAACTTTTTTTGTGACTTCCTTCCTGACTTGAAAATAAAAAATATATACGTACGAAGTATTTTGGATTTGGTTATCACACACAACGGAAATCATATTTCCTTGACAGATTGACAGCAAGATGACATTATAATTGTTTTCATGCGTAAAAAATATATTGTGAGGTACTTAAAGTAATATAAGACTTCAAGATGGCAATTTTTGACCAATATAAAGTCATTTCATAACACTGTCTTGAAATTAGACACTTTCCTTCATTTTGTACTGGAAAATTATCGCAAATAAGTTTTGCTTTATTCCTTATTAAATATGAATCTGAAATTAGAAATGAAATAAATAGATACAACAAATTATTGAGTCATGTAAACTAGTCTAGACACATTCAAACTATCACTGAAGGATGATCTTGACTACTCATTTCACGAATTTCATAGTTTATTCATAAATATCAAAAATCGATGTAGATTACATTTGATTTTATAACTTAACTGATTATTCCAGCAAAACTGACGTTTTGTTGTGTATTTTGTTCACGAGCATACATTCATTGAATACGATGAAAAATTAGTGCTAGTATTTTTTCACCGCACTCTTGTTCATTATGCACCAATTCTTTCCCTCTTATACGCATATATTACAAAGCACAACGAGCTAGCATATCTATAACATTGGCGTTTTTTATTGTTGACCTAATCACGTCTACCAAATTTAAAGAAACAAAGTTCTCAGATTTGAGTTGAAAAAAATCTATAAAGTAGATATTTTAGACATCTATAAAGCAGACAAGTTCACATATTACTTGAGTCAAATTTGCGTTATTTAATAATTAGCGATAATCTTTTATGTTTAGTTTAATAGATAAAGTTCTCCGTTTCATTTTACATAAATTTGAAAACTAGTGTGATTGAGCATTTCGATCATTTTTATTGTTCACATGCTGCCACTTCTTGAGATGTATATTATATTAACAAATAGACACGTTGCAATCGTTAGAAGTAAATTTTTTAAGTGATCGGTAAACTAAATAAAAAGTAAAATGTTGTCTACTGTGAAGAGAATATCATAGCAGCTACTGAAAATGACGAGCATATCAATTGAAACAGGTGCCTCACTCTATTTTACAGCAAAGAGGAATGCAGGCCGCTGCTGCGATGCCAGTGTGGAACAGTTACATGCCATTGCCACCGCCCCACAGCGCAGCGTCAGCCGCGTCAAGGCTGCATCACCATGCATCGGCGGCCGCTGCAGCGTCCACGGGGCCAGGTGGAACGACGAGTAGTAGTGCTTCGCAACGAGCAGTCGAGGAACAGCAAGCAGAGCAGCGGGCTCATCAGCTGGCTGCACATGCGGTCGCCGAAAGATCTCAGCAAGAAGCTAACGAATACGCTGCGCAACAAAATTTAGCGTATCTCAGAGCAGCAACCGCCGTCCCGCAATCGGCTCAACAGGTCAGTTTTGCTCGATTATTATAGATCATTTTTTTCGTGACAACTTGTTTGATGATTGGAAAGTAACCGAATATTCTGTCACTTGCGTCTATAGGTGTCTAGGCCGTCGAGTGTGCCAAGTAAAATGGATTACCCGCCTCCACCTGCAGCTCATACTCGTAGTTCCAAGTCCACATCTGCATCGTCGTCGTCCTCGTCATCGTCGTCGTCGTCGAGTCGACACGATAAGCAGCAACAGAGTCAGGGTATGGTGTCGTCACAGCAACAGCATCAGCCATTGCCCAAGGCTGAGCCCAACGTTAGTTTATTTGGCTATTCGGGTTATCAGCCGAGTGGTGGTTTCATTCACGATTTGAAAACTGTCAAAAATCCTTCATCCTCGTCTACTTCATCGACTTCGTCGTCGGTAACAGTTGCATCTCAGCAAAATAAAACACAACAAGACCGAGATCATCATCGAGTTGATATACTGCCTAACCCGCCTCCTTTACTCTCTGATCACAAGAGTTCAGTTATTGTGAAAAATGAAGGAAGTAGCAGTCGTGAGCAGCTTCAGCACCATAAACACAGTCCAGCAGCACCGGCACATTCGCCAAGCCCTAAGATGATGCCCTATCTTAACGTACAATCTGTAACGGTAAGTATTTAAACTTCAAAAATTCGAAAAAGTTTCGAAAGTATAACAACACAAGTTCATGATAATGTCTGGTTATCTTTAAACAGCACAAATCTCCATACGAATGTCGTTCACCGACGCAGAGTCCACATGCAGCCGTTTCTGCACATCATCCTACACATTTGCATCCGTTGCCGAACGACCAACCTAAGCCTGTGCTTAGTAGGCCAACGAGTGCCCATCAGCAAATGAACCGACATTCGCCCCTGCAAGCTCCGTCACCGCAACAGCAGCAATCCGCACCCGAACCTAGATATCTAAGCAGGCCTGAACCGCAGTTAGCTTATCAACCTCACCAAGCGAAAAATCCTTACACGGCGTTTCATCATCCACAACATCAAACGAGTTCGTCACCAAATTCTCATTATGCATCGCCAAACGTTGGTTCTAAACCTAAGGTTTGTTATTTAATTTACAAAATTGAAGTTTTTGAGAAATTAAAATTTTTAATATGTGCTGAAAATTTTCTTGAAAAACTATGCGTACTCCTAGAAAATAAAATATAAATTGGCAATGAATTCACTAAAAACTTGACGATATTTTGTTTACACACAGGTTAGCAGTCCTGCGCCATCACATATCTACGGTAAACCCACGTCAGGGATCATTACCGGAACGCCCGCTCGTAGCGCAAGCGAATCTCCGCACTCAACTGCATCTGCGTCTTCTTCAGCATCATCTCCCTTGTCTCTTACTTCCAAAGCAAGCGTCATTCCTTCAGTATCCTCTGTGTCAGCAACATCGTATCAGCCCCCGCTCTTACACCATCACTCACCGTTTGCCCCGTTGCCTCCACCAGCTCACTCGAGTCGTAGTTCATATGATTCAAGATACAGCTCTACTGCAAAACTGCCTCCGCCTCCACCTCCGCCATCGATTCACGCCACAAGCCACGGGTAAATTGACTTTTTTATTACTTTTTAACTCTTGAATAAACATTTTGGAATCATCTAAATATTTTTCCTTTTTTTCTTTTTTTCTTTAATAGAAATAAATTACTTTCGCCTATGCATTTGATTCCTCGTCATAATAGCAGCATCATCAACATGAACCCAACAGGGTCTCAGCAGTTACAAACAGCAGCGTTACAAAATAACAATTTCCAAACACAACCATTGGATCTCGGCGTAGAGAGATCCAATTCGCCTAAACGCAAAAACTCTACAGTTAAAAATGATGACGAAAGTCAAACGCCTTTGACTTTCAATCAATCTACTCCTCTTGAAATCACAAAGAAACGGCGGCTGATGGAAGAAATTGATGATACGGTAAGATATCTTTGTATAATTGTGTCTTTCATGATATTTAAGTTCACGATTGAAATACGAGCATTTTTTGTTCGTTTTTACAGTCAAGCGTACAAATGAACGTATCTTCGCCAATTCTGTCTCGTGTTGGCGAACCCACACCTTTAATCGCATCAGCAGCCACTACGATTAATACTGCAGTAAATATCAGTCTTCAACAACAGACACCAAATTCCCAAGGTAGCATACCTTCGACTTCGCCATCTCCACGTACGGGAAGTGCTGATGGTTCTGTGAGGCCAGCGTCTGCCGGATCAAACAATTCCAACACAGTTGCTGGGTCTCCTGCGGCATCACCAGCTCCTAGTTTACCAAGTACTCCGGCAACTAACGATAAAGCAAGTAGTCCAGCACCAGCTAGGCCACCCAGTCGAACAAATTATCCTGTACATAAGCTGAAAAAAGCCTGGCTGCAAAGGCACACAGGTGAACCAGAAGTGACTTCGACTGATGTAATTGGTAGTGGAAGCTGCGTGACGCTTCCGTTGAATATTTCAAATAGTAATAACGCCCAGTCAAATGGAAACAGTACAGGTAAGCAATCAATGTAAAATTAAAACTTTTAAAGTTACAATAATACTTTTTTTGTAAGGCAATATGTACACAACCGTTCAATCACTTTTGTCATACCTAAGTAAAAAATGAGTAAACTTCAAAGTATCATATATCAGTCAATAAAGGTCGTATTAAGATTTTAAAAATACCATTCAAAAGGTCTTTACAAGTGCTTTACATATATATAGCTTAGAATAGGATCCAATAATTGATTCCCCAATTGATTTTAACAAATAAAGAATCAAAAAAATCAGTTTTTCTTGCAGTTGCTATTTCACTTCTTACTTTAGTAGAAGGTCTTGTAGAAACATTCTGAGAACCAATCAATTTATAAGTTTTGACAAGACTTTTGAAACCGTTTAACTTGAATTGTTCTACGTGTATTTTTTACGAAGATATGGCCGTTTACTCGACCCCGATAATTTTTGAAATTCTAAAATTTTGATTTTTCCCATCTCGTTTCTCGAGGCCGTGTAAATGTGAATGAAACAAAAATTGAAAAATGAAAGCAATTATTTCTCTACAGTTAAACCACCGTATCTTCGTGAAAAATGCACCTAGAACAATTTAAGTTAAACGGTTTTAAAGGTCTTGTCAAAACCTACCAATTGATGGGCTCAGAATATTTCTACAAGACTTTCTACTGAAGTGAGTTGTGAAATAGCAACTACAAGAAAAACTGATTTTCTCATATCTTTATTTGTTAAAAATCAATCGGTGAATTAATTATTGCATCCTATTATAATTTATATAGCTGTAAAGCGCTTGTAAAGACCTTATGTGAATAGAATTTCTAAAATCCTGATACAACCTTTATTGACTGAGCTATGATACTTTGAAGTTTACTCATTTTTTACTGAGATATGGAAAAAGTGATTGAATGGCAGTATATATGTTTTGAGTAGCATTTTTGTACACAATTTTTTTAATAATAATTAAAATTCTCATGGATTTTGATGAAACTTGTTATTAACGAACTGTTTTCATTTTATGTCTCGTGAATATATAGGGAGAGATTCAACCTCACCTCCAACTACCAGTTTGACTAATACAACAACTAGTTCAGTAACGACTACAGTAACAACAACAACCGTGCCGAGTGCTGTTAACTCGATTCATAATGTTGGTACCATGGCTGTCAATAGCATTACCAAATCAAAAGTTCCCATTAAATCGCGGAAGACTTCGACTCCTGTTAAGGAGTCATCAGTAAATGGACATTCTCAGTCTGTGGCAAGTGCTACCGCAAATTCTGAGAGTCAACAAGAGGATTCGAGTAACAGTGAACCCGAACGGAAAGCGCCGCCAAAACGAAAACCATCCAAGGTATGATGATCTTGTGAGGATATTGACGTAGTTGTACAGAGCTTTCTTAATCGTTTTAAATCCCCTTTTTATAATCAATCGAATTTTTAATTCTTCTATCTTTACTTGGGTTTTAACTTTTTTATTAGGAAATTTCAATTGTTTATGATTGACTTGCGCGCAGGAATGGGGTGTTCGTTGATTAGTTTGATAATGATACAATATATTTACATTTAAAAAAGGTGATGATCTCAAAAAAAGAATAAGTGCATTATTATTATTTACTTACATTATTAATATAAATAATATAATATGTTGCGTTGCGATGGATTAGGAGAGTTTTTTCATTAATTATTGTATAATTCTTTGCATTGCGTGAAGAAAGCTAGTTAATTTTATATAATGTAAATATTATAATAATGCAAACGATACCTGTTTATAGATAAATTAAATTCAATTATTTCCTGTGAATAAAATGAGTTCTGTGCAAACAAGTATTTTAATTTTGTTGAGTTTATTTTTTCATTTTTCACCTTCCTTTCTGCGCGTAGAGTTATTTGCTTGCTTCTTAACTTTGTTTGATTTTTAAAGCTTATGTTTGGTACTCATAGTAAAAGGTGAATAGGCTTATTAACAGGGATTTGTCTAAAACTTAATTCTTTTTAGGTGCTGATAATATTTTCAGATCGTACACTACACTTACTTACAGATCATAGTGTATTGATCGATAGATGCAGTAACGTGAATATCATTATTGATAGCACCAAAAATCAATTTAAGTTTTAGACAAATTCTTTTTATGTAATCATGTTTCTAACAACCCTCAATTAGGTTATTGTAGCCCAGATGTTTGCAACCCATGATGCACTTTGAAAAAAAGTGACTAACTGATGAATTCAAGTTTTCAATTAGCTTTTGTTCAAGAATACGTTAACCTATATTTATTTATAAAATGCTGATCACATAAGTTAAAGTTGAAACAAAAAGTTCAGATACTTTGATTATTTTTTCCTCAAAACTCACATGTGATAATTCAATTTTGTATGACCTTTTTTCTATAACAACGAGGAATAGTGAAAATCTAATTGTGCCTGAAAAGTATCTAAGCAGCGGTTGCATTCGCTACACTTTCTTGTGAATTCCTAAACTTAATGATGATTTTTTTCATGAGTTTTGAGAAGAATTTATTCTTCTAAAAATCCTTAAAAAATACTAGTTCGTAAGTGATTTTGGTTAAATTTTCTATACAATGATTGTATGTAATAATATTTGAACTTTATAAATATTGATGAATACTTATTCAAGATAGAATATGTTTATTCGTATTAGTTGTATTAGTAAATTCTATTAATGGATTTTTTGGTTATGTCTGAATTTTTTGTTTTGATGATGGAGTCTCTGCTTCAATAAATAAAATTAGGGCATTTACATTCTGAAAAGTTGTTAAATAAGTCATAATGCATTAATTTATTTCTGATAGTTGGTTTTTACAATATAGAACAAAAGCTCTGAAAATTTTGAATAAATCTTAAATATTAACTGAAAGTACAGCCAATATAAGAAACTCTGCATTTTACTTACACAAAATTATGGTCTGTTCGTATTTATAATACAGAAAATCAGACTCATAATACATTCATATTTCACTCGGGTGAAAATTATTTCAAAGGATACCGTAATTTGATTGAAATAACTAAACTTAAATATTTACTTTTTTATAGTTAATTGAGAAAAATGATAACGTTTTTAAAATTTTTTTTCCCATTAATATTTTCGATTTTTCATTGAATTTGTGAATGGTATATAAGTGTATCTACAAATGACTCAAATCTTTATGTTATGTAAATTTAGTTTGAAACTTTGCTTTTCAAAAGACACAAACAAGAAATGGAAATGATAAAATAGTGAATTAGTAACAACACAATGTTAGTTATACAATGTAGTTTTACAATGAAATTTTAGAATAATTATTCCTGTGAATGTTTTAATTTTATTTGCTATAAAGTGTAATGAAATTAGAATAGTCTTGTTTGGCTAAACAGTAGGGGTTTTAATGATGACTCATTAACTGCGTAACGGTTATATTACACTATCGCAGTAAAAAATAGTAAGGGAATAGTAAGTAATAAAAGCTATGGTTGTTTACACCAAATCATTTAGAAATTTAACATCAGTTTTTGTATTATATTTTAGTTTAGTTCTGTTTCTATTCTTACTTTGCACCTATACATACATTCTTGTATGCCTTTTTTATGTGGAGAGTTTGCTATAAGAGTGCGAATATTATATTAACTTGATTAAATATGCAGAAAACCTCAAAAAGTGTTTTCTTCAAATTATCCTAGAGATTTTTTCGGAATTTAAAGCGTGCACGTTCAAATACATAGACGCAAACATTAATCAAAACCTAATTACAAGTAATCGTTTTTCGTTCTTTCTTTTTTGTAATTACGAGAAAATGAGTAGAGTTGGATGAGATTATTATCTTCCAACAAGATTGCTTTTTATTATTCGATTATATTCGAATATTCGATTTGAGAAAGACTGAGCTAAAAAAAATTTTATACAAACTGTTCAGAAAATGTATAATCAATGATAGACCCATTTGTTGCATTATAATTTGTCTATAATAGTGGAAGAAGTTATTTATGTAAATCCCCGAAAACTCGATTAAATAACTAATGCAAATAAAAATGCTTAGTAACATGTACATATAATAGCAATCAAAGAAATCTGTGAAAACCTTGATTTGTTCAAACACGAGAAAAATGTAAACTATAAGTAACTAAAAAAATAAACATACATTTGATTTCAAACACGCGCTTCGCAGATTATCTTCAGCGCTCTCTAGTGAGTGTCACTGAAAGTAAAAATTTCGACATGCGCAGTAGGATCTCGGAAAGTATAGCTATTGCCCAGTAACTAATGTTAGCATTGAAGCTTGAGCAGACGCCATTTAGCTGTCTAGTCGCAAGCATCAGTTTGCTAAGAAGTTTTATAAGTGTTAAAAAGTATAAGAATATAAGTATTAGTATACAAAAGTGAAATATTTATTTAAATTTCCTTCTAAATCATCGTTTATTACAATGGATTCATCATATCATTGTTCTATAGAAATACAAATGGATACAGCAATAGTAAGCTTGAATTACTTTTATCTTTTTTTAAAAAAATTTGCAATAAACAATGATCTGCCACAAAATTTTTTTTCTTGACGTAATAGTAAATGACAGTATGAATTTTTAAAAATGTTTTTTCAAACTCTGTCCGAAAAATATATTCAAATTATATTATAAAACTTACACGTGCTGAGCCACGTGGTTGCATTTCTGCATTAAGTTTGGATAAAAACAGACTAAATACTACTTTGTATATAAAAAATAGTATATAAAAAAAACTCCTGGGTGTTTTCTAAATAAATTTATTAATCGTTAGTCATCTGTAAACGTTTCTAGTTATAAATAAATCAATCAGAATTCGAAGTTGAGTGATATCACATAACCTCAAATAGTACATCATTTTACGGATTATATTATATACATACATACATAGGTTATTGTAATGAATTTATACTCTGTTGATAAACTATAAATACAATGAATTTACTGACATTTTTTAATTTATATCAAAAATACAGAATATAGTTTTTTTCATATCATTCTTTGAAAAACAGTAAATATAAGAATCTCTTTATTGTAATGTGGGTTCAAGCGTAATTCAAATGTAGCTATTTTCTAATGAAATTTCTTCTCAAAAAATGCTTTTATCGTCATTTGAAAGGAGGATAGTTATAATTTTACAATCAAACACACAATTATTAGCTTTCAGTATAAAATATTATAACTTTAAAATCAAATCTGTCAAAGCTTAAAAAATGTATTTAATCACTTACACGCTTGCAAAAAAGAAAAAAAATTTGCCGTTAAAAGTCACGATTGACTAATTTATACTTTTCTGAAAGTATAAGTTGTTGGATTTATACTTAAAAAAGACTATTTTATACTTTTATTAAAGGGGGTAAGCCTCTTGGACTTTCTGGGCCTTAAAGTTGAAAAGTTAAAATTGTATACTTTTATACAAGTATAAATTATTCAATTCTGACTTTTAACGGCAAATTTTTGTACTTTTTTGGTAAGCGTGGATTTTGGGTTCTTTGTACATCTTAAGGAAGGCTCCTCTATACAGAAGGACAAATACCGACATACCGATATTATTTTGTACCCATTTTTTTTATTCTCTAGACAACCGTTGAACTTGAAACTTTGTGGGAGTGATTATAAAACTTATAAAAATGGCTGGCTCCAGAGGCACATTTTTATAAGTTTCATAATCACTCCCACGAAATTTCAAGTTCGATGGTTGCCCAGAGAATAAAAAAAATGGGTACAAAATAATTACGTACTTGTTATGTTGTGAGTGTGTATAAGTTTAGGCCAGATCCATAGCTCGGAGCTAAAGTGGTCTCCTTGTTAGTACACTTGTTTTATTCTCAAACGCGTTCCATTTTAAACTTGAATATACACTACAAGAAAGAATCATGTGAAAAAACACATTGGATTAGCAGTATTGGGAAAAGAATTATGTGACACTAGCGCTGTGGAGTCTCAACTATAAATAATCACGTTAAATGTGTCTGTGTGGTAGGTAAAACGAAAAAAAGGATCATCTTCTTGGAAACAACAGACAACCATGCAGGAACAACGCAGACGTAAGAAGCCAACACACGGAAAAGCTGGGGCCACATCAAGCAGTAATCAGGCAGCTTCAGATTCGAGCAACTACAGTGATGGAGGTTCAGTCAGCGATAGCAGTGAACAAAAGCTTACTGCCAGAACAAATAATGATAATGGCAAAACATCTGGAAATGGTTAGTGTTTTTTGTGTAGCATCAAATCAAAACTACAACTACACAATCACATCTAATTCATTGTTGATTTAATTTTAATTGGTGTATTGAAAAAATAAGTTAACTCTATGAAAAACTCGAGGTTTTTGGGGATAGTTTGAGTGATGTCAGAATAGAAAACTGAATTTTTTTCTGTCTGTGAGAGTGTGTAAAATGCAGGAAAAAAATCTCTAGGAAAATTAAGTAATGAATAATTGGTTATTTGTGTGAATCAGGTGTAATGTTTTTTTACTCTAGAAAATTTTCTGTTTTCTTTGATTTCACTAATACTGATATTTTATTCCATACTTATACAATAAAATTGTATAATATGATATCTCAAATTAATAATCCAGTATCTTAAAAGTTTCAACTGTCCGTAGCACTAACATTTATATGTATTTATAGACTTGCTTACTGCTTTAAGAGCCATTTATACATGAGCACAATCCTAATTAAAAAAACTGTACAGAATGATGACAGAATCTTATATTGATTACAATGATGAATCATATGAGCTTTTTAACACTGACTTTAACAAATTTTTTTCAACAAAAATTAATTAATTTAAATAGCAATTTACAATTAAGTGTTAAATTATTGTTTTCAGGTAGTAAAAAAGTCCCTAAAAAACGAGGGAGAAAACCTAGGTCCATTAAAGAACACGAAATCGAAAAAGAGGAAGAAGAAACGGAAGAAGAGTATCAACAATCTCCGAAAAAAAAACGATTAGAAGTGAACAATAAATCTAGCAATGGTGGTGGTGTGATTAACAAAAACTCAAAAAAAAATCAAATGATTAGAATAAGTACCTTGGAGGATAAACCGGCAGATGAAACATTACAGAGAAGTGGACAAAGTTGGGTGCAAGAACAAACATGTCAAAACTATTCATCGAATAGGCTACCAAGATGTCGCGAATGTCGTCTTCTTGGGAATCAACCTCCAAAAGTAAAAGTTTTATGCAAAGTCAGTATGTGCAGTGTATTTTGCAGATTTTACGCTTTTAGAAGATTAATTTACGGAAGGGGGGGTGCTCTCACAGCAGCAGGATTCAATGACCCTTTCATTGATGCTGGTGAAGTAAGTTTTTATTTTCCATCTTTTTTCGCTACTCTAAATGAATTGATAATTTTTTAATGGATTATTTACATTGCAGAATGATACGATATTTTGGCTACCTGGAAAGCTCAGTCATATGATTAAGAGGGGCACATTTACAGAAGAAACTCAAGCAAATTCTAACGCCGAATTGGATATAGCAGATAATGGGAAATTCAATGTTGAATTAGCCTATCAAATCATCAGGCAAGTTGGTGACCAGTTTTGCGACATGGTCATTCAAGAAAAAAATGTAGTGGAAGAACATTTAGCGCACAGTAAGTATATATTTTTAACTCCTCGTTGTAACCAATTAACATTTTATGCAATCGCCAATGATAAATCGTTACGATTATTTAGTTTACATGATGATTTAAATAATGTACTTGACTCATAATGAAAGCAATACATAAACGAGCTTTTTAACACTGAAAAAACTGAAAAATAATCTAATTTTAATTCTGTGACAAACTTTGATTAAAGCTGTTCTTTTTTCCTTTCAGAAACCGGAGTAAATGGAGAACCACCTATTATATGGAAACGAGTTGTCAAAGGAGTACGCGAAATGTGTGACTCTTGCGACACAACACTTTTCAATTACCATTGGACTTGCGGTAAATGTGGCTTCACCGTCTGTATTGATTGCTATGAGGTAAAAATAATTTTATTCTTTTTCAAAAATTATGTAATATTTACTTCAAATGATGAAAACAAAGCAATTGATTTCCATGATGAATATTATTCAACGAGCTTTTTAACACTGATTTATATTCACCAAATAACACATGAACCAAATATTTTTAAATTGAATTTTATTAAAATTTTATCTACTTTTCAGGCTCGCAAAAGCAAAGGCGCTGTATGTTCTGAGACTGCAGTCAAAGGACGTGATAAGTTCTCATGGTTATTGTGTGCAACACGCCAGACTCATGTACCAGAGCAATTGTTGCTTACGCAAGTTATTCCATCCGATTGCCTGGTTCAAATTGATAAACAACTTCATGACTGCCGCAGTGAATGGGGTATTCCTCAAAGTTGCAATTGTGGATATAAGTCCACCAAACCAGTTAATGAAAAACTCAAGAGCCTCATTACAGGTGACCTTGTTAGTTCGATGAATGGAAATTCTCAGCAAAATGTCAAGGTAAATATTTGAATAATAGTGATTCCTTGACAAAGATAAAAAAATAAATTGTATTTTTTTTAAATGATGAAAAATATACAACACATCTGATTTACGAAAATGATCAATCAGCCATGCTAATTCTGAAATTTCTGGCAATTAAATTTCAGTTTCTTAAACCATTATTTTTATATCAACTTTTAATTGAAAATGTTATTTTACAGACTCCGATGGAAATTCCTGGGCACACTAATGGAGAAGATAAAAATTCTCTCAACTGGCTAGCTGATGTTGCTTTGCAAAATCAAGAAAAGGAAGATACTGACTCAGATTCTGATTCCAATGACGATGAGAGTCACTCAACTCTTCGAGAATTGCTGATTCGTTCCCACCAAAATTTATATTCTGATCCCAATTCGCCCGATGGTAATGATGCTCAAGCCAAAAATACACGTGTTAAACGTCGTAAAATATCACACGAAGAAATGATGAATGAGATGTTTGACACTGTCATTGCAGCTAAACTAAAGGTAAATTCGTGTTAAATTATTAAAATTAATATTAAAATCTTATACCTTTAATAATTTTAATGATGAAGCTATATAATATCAAACTGAAAAACAATGATTTTTTTTGAGCTTTTTAACCCTGATATATCAATCAATTAAATTATAAGTTATATACTGTTTTAAATATTTGTCATTTGATTTGGTATTATTATCATTTTCAGAGAGACAAGGAAGCTGGACTTGCAGTAGAAAACCCTTGCGTACTGAAACACTTTGTTCGTCGATATAAATGCCCTGAACGAGGTCGTGAACCATTACCCGTTCGTCTTATGACTTTGACAGAAAGTACTTTACTCTATCCTGAAGTACCACATACATGGCTTTGCAATGGAAAACTTTTGCGACTTTTGGAACCTAACAACACCAATAATTATAGAATTTTCCAAGATCAATGGAAAAGAGGACAACCTGTGATAGTATCCGATGTTCACAAACAACTGGATCAAGATCTTTGGAGTCCAGTAAGTTTTTGTCGAGACTTCGGCGAAGAAAAGAGTGATCTTATTAACTGTATGTCTGGAAGGAATGTGCCAAAGCAATTTTTATGGAAATTTTGGGAAGGTTTTGAACATCTAAGCAAGAGACTGAAAGACAGCCAAGGAAACCCAATGCTTTTGAAATTGAAAGATTGGCCTTCTAAGGGAGATTTCGCTGACATATTGCCCAGTCGATTTATCGATCTTATGAAAGGCATACCACTTTCTGAGTATACACATCGATATGGTAGATTGAACCTTACCAGCATGTTACCTGAAACTTTTACTCGGCCAGACTTAGGCCCTAAAATGTATACTGCTTACGGATCGGCCAAGTATGCTGATAAATCAACAACAAACCTCCATCTTGATATATCAGATGCTGTCAATGTCATGGTTTATGTTGGAGTCACCCAGGACTGTGATAAAGACGAACAAATTGCCGAAGTTTTAAATGCAATAGATGAAGCTGGCTGTGACTTTCTTACGAGAGAGCGCGTTCGTGAGAAAAACGAAATTCCCGGTGCATTATGGCACATCTACTCATCAAGAGATGCAGATAAAATTCGTGACATGCTTAATCGAGTAGCTTTAGAGAATGGAGTTAAATTGTCCCCTGATCATGATCCAATTCACGATCAAAGTTTTTATCTTGATGGTCCACTTCGAGAAAGACTTTATCGTGATTATAACGTTGAAGGATATGCGATTGTCCAATGCCTTGGAGATGCTGTATTTATACCAGCTGGGGCACCTCATCAAGTGAGAAATCTCCACAATTGTATCAAAGTAGCAGAAGATTTTGTTTCGCCTGAAAATATTCTTCACTGCTTTAGATTGACACAAGAATTCCGTGCGCTCAGTGACAAACATTCGAACCATGAAGATAAATTACAGATAAAAAATATAATTTACCACGCTATCAAAGAATCACTAACAGTACTCGAAATGTCTAAGAAACAAAATTTAGAAGAGTTAAAAATCGAACCGACTTTTGGAAATGACGATCTTACCAGCGACGAGGTAAAAGTCAAAACAGAAGAGACGAAAAGCACTCAGTAATTCGTCACCACCAGTTACACGAATGCATTGTTCGGAGTGACAACCAACGAAAATTTAAGTTGGAAAATTATATGTGATAAATATATTTAAACTGTGCGATTGCAGTGAAATAAGTTTACCGATTCAGAATTCGATAATCACGCGATTTGTAAAATATAATAATATATATAATACGATTATAAATATATAAATACATTTATAAATATGTAAGCGAAAAATATTGTGCCTGTATTCAGTACACACAAATGAACTGTAACGATTCTATTGTCTATATGAAATTTTAACGCGACGAAATAAAGTAGCAGAATGACGTTTTCGTTTTTAGAATTTTTGCTATGATGCGCGCTGGCTTAGATAGATTGTATATTAGAAAAAAGTACCACAAGATAGGAAACTTGGTTTTTATATGATGTTCACGGGAGAGAGATCTGATTGATTGGTGGTAATCATCTTGTATATTTCATTTTTAAGGCAAAGAACCGTGCAATTGATAAGAATGAACTGTGTTTTAAAAATGAATTTAATTTGCGAGTGTATGTTTGTTTCGTGTCTGAATGGTTGCTATAGCAAATTGGTGTTCAATTTTTATATTTCTTCGAATTTGTATCAAATTTAACGATACAATGTATTTTCTGAAAAAATGATCGATTATTTCCATAAAAAAACACTGCCTCATATTTGAAGTCAAATTTCTCTCCCATTTCTTGATTTTTAGTGTTTTATACACCCTATGGAGTAGAAATTTTTTATTGAAAGTTCAATTTCATTGAAATCGGAATTTTATCATCTTATCTAAATAATTGATTTATTTAACCTAGTGTTCATATCTGTTTAAATGTAATGAAACTATTGTTTCATACATTACCATCATTATATTAATCATATAAAATTGAAAATGTATATTTTAACCCTCTGCAGGGTTTTCAAAAAAAAATTGGATCTAGCAATTTCTCTGATCTCACTATACACGTTCGTCTTGCATAAATATTTATATAAAAAAAAAAACAACGACTTGTGAATGTTTATGGGAAATAACTAAATATATAAAACATTGTATAGCACATCTAATTACATATTTCTGTAATCATGATAAGGAAAATTAAACTCTTCGTTATGTACACAAAAAATATATCTTTAAAACAAAGAACTAAAATATAAAAGATGATATATCTGCTAACAAGGTGTTTGTACCGTGACCTTTAAGTTGATAATATCCTGCGATAAAAATGATGAGAAAGGCGTTGTGTAAAAAACTGTGTAGAAAGTTTATCGTATAAGTACACGGATAGATGAATTTAAATAAACATTTATAAATAAGACGTACTTTGTGTATTATGAATTTTTGTGCTCACCGAAAAAATTACAAAATGAGATAAAAATATTAATTATTCGCCGTCATAATTCGTTATGACAAAGATATATCTCTAAACTTGTATATATCAATCATTATAAATATTATAAATATATACATATACATATGTATATGTATATGTACTAAGTAGACTATTAAGTCACATCTATACATATTATAAATACGGAAAGGAACGGAAGTTGTAGAGTAATTTATTATCAGTAAGAGCAATTTCAAGAGAAATAGTAAAAAATCGCTCCAACAACTGCATACAAGAATGAAACTTACATTATAAATTAACTTCGTCATCAAATTCATTGTATGTGTCATCGGTCATTCATCCTCGTTACTATTTTATTTTATTTTTTATTGATCTTATTAATAAAGAGCTCTGTTATTCATGGATGTTATTATTATTTAATAAAAATAATTTAAATCAATCACACGGTTTTTATTACTATCACAAATTAAAAAAAAAACTATAAATAATTAAATTTTGCTCATCAGATGCTAGCGACGATAAATTTTTTCATGACTACTTCAGCACGAAAAGAAAAGTGAGTGTATGAAATATGTTAGAAGTTCAAATACATGTAAATTGTGTGCATTCAACTATATTGTAAAATTACTGAAGAAAATAGGCAAATTTGTGTTTTTTTGAGAAGGCTAATGCATGAGTACATCTATAACAATACACACTTTGCTTAAAATGATTCTGCCTTGTAATTTTTTCTCTTTGAAAAAGTCAACATTGAAACATTGAATTGTTACTGCCTTGAAGGGATATTCGACTGAAATTTTTTGTCTAGAATGTGGATTTTTTAGCCAATTTATTTAACTATAAATTAATAAATGCTGCACCTGAATAAGAAAAAAAAATTACGGGACTGTCAAAAACAACGTATTTGAAAACTTCAAAAAGTAATTTATAGTGTTAAATCATTTTACTTGACTATAATAATAGAGCTTCTGTGCCCATCCGAAAAACGATAAAAGTTTATGTTATGTACGATGTGAATAAATATGAGCACGAATATAACTACAGGCTGATGCAAATATAATTTTTGTACCGTTTAAATGTGTAAGAACATATGTTCATACAAGCCAAGATGAGAAAATGTTTATACTACAATGAGAAAAAAAGATGTTGCTTTTTGTTTAGTTCTTGTTTCCCATTTACCAATCTCAAATCTGTAGTTTATAAGTTGTAAATAAATATTCCATTTACTTATTTAAAAAGACAAAGAATTTTATCATTTCCTTTAACCTTGTGTATCATGAAGGAAGATTGCACAAAGTTTACACACCATCCAGTACATAGAGATTCATTCGTAACCAACCGATAATAATTATAGTTCACGCTATGTCATCTTATTTTCTTTTAGTCTTAATTAACGAATTTTTTTCAAAAAACAAAGTTTAATTGTGCAGTTGTTAGAATTTAAAGATTACAAGTGTAAGCTGAAATGAATATACACTCTTTAAGGTAATTTTATTTCACATACTTATCCGTTGAAGTACACTTCGAAATGCATATAGTTTCATAGTTTTTTCTTTCAAGGTTATCTTTTCAACACTTTTTAGTATAAAAAAAATTATATAATAAACTAATTAAAAAAATAAATCGTCTCAACTACCTTACATCAATCAGTTCCAATTTGGGTGTGTTGTGCATGATAAAACGGTAGGGACGTAGAATGTTAGACGTACACTTAGAATAAATTCGAAATTTCACGTACTGCAAAGTTAGCTATAATAAATTACTGAATAATAGGTGAATGCGCCATATTTCAGAGAGTTAAGAAAAAATGCTTCTTTACTCATTTACAGAGCTCGTGCACGGCGTTTGAAAATTTTTCTAAAAATACCTTTTGATAAAAAAAAAAGTAACCTTTCGAATGAGTACATACACTTGGCCAAAAAAATGCTGGTGATATTTTGAAAATATAATTAAAGACAAAAAAATACGAATCATCCATTTTTCGACCACCTCACTGAGATGTCAAAGACCGTGAGCTTGGAACTCGGTTAAAATTTTATTATTGACATCTGAAAGCATAATAAATAAACATACGTGTCTAGATTGTGCACGAGTAACCTATTGTCTATTTTCAAATTGAATAAAAAACTTTTAAATGAAAATTATTAAGGATTAATGAAGGTGGTCGAAAACTGGATGGATCATTGTACCGAATAGCCCAATTTTCGACCAGGTCCGAATTATAAATTGAACAATGAAAAAGATACAATAATTTTCAAGGGTACTGAGAATTGTCTCTGAAACAATAACATTTATAGAATCGAAAAAATATTTTATTACGTCAAAATTTCGCATATATTTCTATTTATTTGAATAATATCTTAAGGTGTCCGAAAATTGGATGGTGGCCAGTAATAGGCACATTCACTCTCTAAGCAATCGAATGAGCATTGTTATAGTGACAATTAAATGAATGATAATATTTGATTATTTTGAGACAAAAAATAGATTTTTTTAATGTTAGATTATTATTTTCGAGCGTGACTATTACTTCTCAAATTTTTAGACCATAAATTTTAATTAATATATTTTCAAAATAAAGCCAGCTGTTTTTAAAATCGATGAAAATTTAGTTTTTTAAATTTTCATTCTACGGTATGTTTCCCGCTTCTTAAATTTAAATTTTAAAATATGCCTCTGTAATGAAGCTTCGGATTTTGCTCCGTTCGTAATGCTAATTTCGGGGGCAAGCATCAATAACATTAATATAAAAAACATTTTTTCATTTTGACTTGTGTGTAAAAAGTTACACACAACATTTTTTCTCGTCCGTGGACATACCATCATCCGCGAATGATATTTCAGGACTCTGCATAATTTTTTACCACGTAATTATCATAACGTCTCTACGTATTGATGTGTCTACGACAAGTTGTAGGCTAAGTAATACGGGAAATAAAATTATAAATATTACGTTGCTAGGCTGAGCTGGCCATAGCAACCACTGCATCTGTCGGACATGCAGAAATGGGCAAAAGTCCTTCTTTTTCTAGGCTACGCATACGGCGAAAGTAACCACTTTTGCCGGAGGGATGAAAAAAAGAAATTTACATAATGTATAAAAAAAATACAAATAATCATTTGTACCATAAACTCATGGTGCCGTGAATGAGAAATCATTGTATGTACGATACTTGATTTATTGAAATTAAAAAAAAAAATTCATGTCAACAAATGTAAAAATAAGTTAAAAATTGAAACATCAACTCATTACTTGCAGGTTTATGAGAAGAATAAAATTGCTGTATAGAGCTAAATAAAAATTTAAAGAATCTCATTTCAACACTCTGTGAGAAACCTTGAGTAGAGAGAAAAAATTTAAAAATTCCATCTATGAGCTGTTCGAGGAAACAATTGGGTAATAGCTGGACAATAAACTATTTTCAATTTGTCTTTACACTTTTTAGAATGTTTTAATTACATGTTTGTAGAACTCAAATTTTATATACACAAAGCAAAATAATAAAACTCATTGAGTTTGTGGCATTAGTGAATAAAATGTGATATAATACTCCCTTTGAGTTATCTAATCATCTTTACTTGAATTATAAGTATTTTTCACTTAGGGAGCTCAGAAATATATTATCACTTTCGGGCTGTTTTTTTTCATGAAAATTCGCGCGGTTTTAAAACTTATTTTCACTTTCTCTATTATTCCGTTAAAACGCATCCTGACAATTACCATCTGCCGAAGCATCGTTTTAATGCAGTCGGTAAAGCAGAGGCCAATGCATGAAAGTTTAACTGATTCAATGATTTTTCGTGCATTTCATTACAATGCAATTATTTCCTATGCGTAATGAACCTGAATTTTTCTACATTTGCAAAATTCGACTCTACCAATAAAATTTTATTTTTTTATTCTCTATAGTTGGATCTTTTTTTAATTTTATGAAAAATCGTTAATCGAATAAAGTTATTTTTAAATTTTTCCATTATAAACCGGAGTCTTATAACACTACTCTTTACGAAAACATCGATGTAAAACTATTTTGGGCCAAATAGGGCTTCAACAAATGTGTTATCGTAAATTGTAATTTCGGATTTTTTATCCAGAAAACTAAGATTGCTAACACATGTACTTTGAAAAAATATTTTGTTGAGATTACTGCTACTGAAAACAATTAATTTAGCGTCAGGAAATACAATTCTCTGATTGGAAAAAAAATAACTAGTCATAAAGTCAAAGAAAGAAATCACCTATGTAACAAAGTATAACACCCATGTTAAACTCAGGTCTGTGTGATATTGACAAATACTTAAGGAGATCTGGACCCCACATTTTTATCGCCCGAGACACGCAAAGTTTCTTTTATTTTTAACTTTTTCTGTAATTCGAATTTCGACAAATGGCTCTATGACGACCTTCATTTTGTTGCTAAGAATAGCAGTTAAAATTGCAGCCCATTCCATTGCGTAAATTTCCCGGAAAACTGGATTATAATTTTTGATCCTGACTTTTGATCCATGCTTGATCAAAATTTTCAATCCAGTTTTCCGGGAAATCTGCTCAATGGAATAGGCTGTAATTTTAACTACTTATTCTTAGAGACAAAGTGAAGGTCGCCTTAGAGCCATTTGTCGAAATTCGAAGTACAGAAAAAGTTAAAAATAAAAGAAACTTTGCTTGTCTCGCCCGATAAAAACGTGGGGTCCAGATCTCATTAAGAGCGAAAAGGGGGCTTAAAATCGAAAAAAAATGTATTGTATTTGAGTAGGATTTTGTCTTCCCTTTCTACAGACTTTGTTTGAATTCCAAAATTTCGAACCAAATCCAAGTTCCCAATTGTTTTTTTACTGAAATAGAGTTATTTCCTTGAGCCTTTTTCTTATACTTTGCGCATCAATTATTTTCTTCTTTTGCATTTCCTGGTAACTTTCAAAGCGGACCGATTGAGTTACAGCGTACAGTTGACGCACACTTCTTCAGAACATCAATGTTCACAAACGCAACCTCTGGCGAGGTAATCGAACTTATAGGTCATTTTCAATCAGAAGATTTATGATTGAGATAACAAAGGTTGCGTTTGTGACCATTGATGTTCTGTAAAAGCGTATGCGACCCTGAAGGCTGTAGCTCAAAGGGTTCATTCTGAGTTTTGCATCAAGTAATCAAAAACACGACTCGCCAGGAAACGCAAAAGAAGAAAAAATTTAACACGCAAAGTATACGAAAAAGGCTCACGGAAATAGCGGAATTTTGGAATTAAAAAAAATTCTATGGAAAAGGGAGCAAAAATCCTACTCAAAAATGTAATAAATTTTTTTTCACTTTTAAACCCCTATTTAGTTCTCAATTAAAAATAAGAGTTTTTCCTGGCCCTAATTTAAAATAGTATATTTCTCAACGGGTGCACATATGGTTTTTTAGCAAAACGAGGGATTATAACTGTAACGAGTTTTGTTAAAAAACCATATCTGCACCAGTTTGAGATACTATTTTTTCCTACGAGAGTCTAAAATTAGCGGCAAAGTTGCGTATTTTAGGTTAGAGTGGGAAATAGTATATTTCTCAACGGGTGCACATATGGTTTTTTAGCAAAACGAGGGATTATAGCACGAGCCGAAGGCGAGTGCTGTAACGAGTAAAAGTTGCGTATTTTAGGTTAGAGTGGGAAAAAATATTTTTTTTTGGTAGCATCACATTTAACAGGGACAGTTTCCGTGGACGGTATTATAGAAAATATGGTTTTTGCTGTCTCAATTAAAAATTAATTTTTTTCGTTGAAAAAATTGTTGAGTTATTATTTTTGTTGTCAGTGGTGATATATGCACCTTAGATGTATTTTTTATTTCGGTTTTTGGATGGTCTTTTTTCCTCACCAGTCCAGTGCATTTTCTAAAATTGAAATTTTCATTTGCCTTTTAAAATATAGGAGTTTTTGTGTCTTTTCTCTAATCATTTCACTTTTTGTATCATCCAAAAAGAATAATTTTTACCTTGGATCCGAAGCTTTGCACAATTTCTTTCAAACAAAGCTGCAGTGAAATGATTGAGCCCCTTTGGGTACCTCCTAAGAAGCAGTGATTTAAACCCGACGTGAGAATAAGACGAATTGAGTTAATACGTATTCGTTCCTGGTTATACTAATGATCTCATTTCGGAGTGTTAAGAACTATTAATTCTTGCGGTACGCAGCTGTCGTCGTTGTGGTATGCAGGCGCGTGTCGTGACTCGTGGCAGCTTCGTGTAGCTAAACACGGTAGGTAGGTGCATGTCCTCGAATTATGAACATAGAAGCTAATCTGTCGGAAAAGATGAAACGAGTTCGTAATTACGAGTGAAGTTTTAATTTTATGAAAAAAACTCAAAATCCAGGGAAAGAATAATGTCAGATGGTTGACAACTCTTATTGTATGATTTAAAAAATTTTATTTTACAAAAAAAGTTTATTTCACTTTTACCTATAAGTACATTATACCTATGAAAAATTCTCGAGATAGATGGTGATCAGTTTTGAATTTTCCAACGACGATTCTTTACGAAATTGTTAATAAAAAAATTAAACAAACTATTTATCACATAAAAGTTTCATTTATTCGAAATCTCCGCTCATCAAGCACTACATGTATACAAATGAACAAAAAATATCTTTACCTACACCTGAGATAAGTTTAATCCAGTTATATAATTGTTATATATTTATATATAACTTGCAAAAAAGTATATTTTTTTATAATCTTATTATTATAATGAATTTCAATTACCATATTCTAGACTCCATATTTAATGTTGGTATAAAAATGAAGCTAGTAACACTTGAAAAAATATGTCTACCGTTGATGAAGAATTTCTTTTATGAATTTGAAATTTTATAACATGCAATTTTGGTACGTAGTAGACAATACTTCTTTCACTGTGCATGCATAAAAAGATCTATTAATAATTCAAAACTTTTTTTACATATATATTGAAAGGCAAATGTGAAGTTATTGGATTAAACATCATTATTCATAATTAAATTTTTTTATTTAATGAATTTATTTTCTGCCACTTTCACCCAACACGCAAACGAATTACATATATATTTATTCACACTTGCTTTAATGACTTTTATTTTTACTATTAAAAAAATATCTTTAATCCAATATTTTACTTTAGTTATATTATATAATAGTAACTTGCTGTTAAGAATAAGGTTTTTTAAATGTCTTTTCTTGAATATATTTATGGAAGAATGATATATTTGAATAACTTTTTTAGATTAATAAATTATGTATTGGTATTTGTACTACATACAGATTCGATATTCACAAGTTAAAACTCATCCACTCATCTGATTCATGAATATGTGCATTCAAAAATTTTCATTAAAACCATATTATACAATTGATTTAAGCTATATAAATACAAAGAGAACGAAATCATAATCGAATGACTAATATTCTGCTAGAAATGTATGTTTATCTTTTTTTCTATATGCTTTTAAATGCAAACTCTCGATGATGATGGCAAATGTTTACTTGTAGTTTTTTGTAAATATTTATAGTTGAGTTTAGAGAATTATAACAAATATCTTGAATATTAAATAAACCGCATACCGCAAGCCGTTTTGTAAAACGATTGTTAACACATGGATTGTCTTATTTAAATTCTCATTCATAACAATAACGAAAAACGTATACACAATATATTTATAGTAAATTTATACAATTTCTTAATAGTAACTTTAAGCCTATTCTTTAAATAGATGAGAGCTAATACATTTTTATATTATATAATACATTAATTTTTTTCGTGCTTACAAATTATTTGTACAGACCTTTTAATTATTATTATTATTATTATTATTATTGAATGATCATAAAAACAATTCGCAGGGTGAAGCCTCTTTAAATATGTTGCAAATGGTAAATGATACCATTGATATCTATGAATAACAATACCAAGCGATGGTGATCAAACAATTTTTTCTTAATGTAGCAGCATACATAGAAATATTACTAATATGTACATATTTTTATCATAGAAAATTTAGTCACCGTAAAATTATCGCAAACGGTTAATTCATTTTCGTATTAAACCCTCTGCAATAGTACTGATGCGTACTTTCTCTCAAAATTGTGATATGAGTGGTAAATCATATCCATAGGAAAACTCTAGATGCACTACTGTTGTTCACTTATTTTGAAGATAATAATCATTCTTCGCGGTGATCAGTGTGATTATGATGATGCGAATGATGCATCTGATGCATATTATGAGAATTTTCCTTGGTTTGAGGTTTGTGGTGTTCCATGCTGGTTTGAGGGTAATGAACATTGCTGGGAGCAGGATGTTGGGTGGGCACTTGCCTCGTACGCGGCACCATTACTACATTATTACCGTCAGCTGAGAGCTGAAGACTGTAATCCGAGGTGTCGTAGGGATTTCCATCTTGGTCTCGTAAATTCTGTAATAAAAATTGATTCGTTATAACTCAAAGGTGCTTTAAAATGTAAGGTCAAACTTGTATTTATATAAGGTTAAAGACTCACAGTAAAAATGTGCCTGTAGAGGGTGGAGAATCTTTCCTTGGCCGAGGACATTTGAGAGAGGATACAATTTCTATCGCTTATTAATCGCGATTTGCGAGTACGCATCTCTTTGACCTCGTCACTCAAGCTGTTGATTTGATCGAGCTTGCGCTTGCGGCAGTTTTGAGCAGCGACCTTATTCTTTCCACGCCTTCTAATGTCTCGGATCAAAGATAGTTGTGACTCGCTTAGGTCATACTTGCTCAAGCGCTCGTTGAATTCATCCATTGGCAAATTGATTATATCATGCACGGCAATGGGCACGTTAAGGGCCCGAGCTTTCTTTTCGTCGCGCGTCAAGTGCTCATCGCCCTCCGACTTGCTTCTTTTCTTGTCCCGCGATAAGGGTCGTTGGAGCGTGCCCGTGTTTTCTGGTGGTAGAGTATACGTATGGTTGTGCTGGATGTGATCGAGGCTTGTGCGGCTGCTATGGGCGTTGCGAGCGCTGCCACCGAGGCCAAAGTCACCGTTGCAGGGGTACTTGAGCTCGGGGCCGGTCGCGCCCTCGATCGGGCCGGCGAAGGCTTGTTGCGGTGGTCCAGCTGCGGCCACCGACTCGTAGTCGTACTTCATGATCGAGGCCGGGGGCGCTGGGTGCTGGCCGACCATCGGCGAGTTCGGCATTCCTCCCTGCTCTTGCAAGCAACGTTTGCCGAACAGATGGTGCTTTTTTTGAGCCGGCGAGGTTCCGCGATCGGCAGCAGTAGCAGCGGCAGCGGCGGCGGCAGCCGACATCGCGGTCGTTGAGCAGCTCCTCCTCGATTGGTGCCCCAGCTGGTAGTTGCACTCGTACGGCAAGCGGTTGTACTTTCTGAAAAATTCAAAGGGGCCATTGGTAATCCGGTAAAAAAGGAACTCGAGAAAGGAACTTGAAGGAAAGAGAGACACTCACCCGTGGTAATCCATGGAGAAGTGCACGTCGGCTTGGGTGTGGCTGGAATTCGAGTTGGTCTCCATCCACTCTCCATCGCTGACCGAAGGAACCCTCTCGCTGCCCATGCTGCTAACTGCACTGTCGCTCGAAGAGTCCAATCTCTCCTCGGTCGGCACTTGTCCGTGAGCGTTTATGGATGGCCCTTGCACATTGGCCGCTGGATTGGACATGGCAAGCGGAGCGTTACTGCCATTATGCAGATTGTGGCTGTTGTTGCTGCCGGCATAAATTCCTATGGAAAGACAAAAAGAATAACGAATCTTGAGTCAAGTCGTGATTGTTATTGGTATTTAAACGAAAATTTTCAATTGTCATTCTCGCGCGCTTCTCGGTTACGCACATTCGATAACGGGACCTCTCTTTTTTATCATCTACATATAAGGGTCTTATCATCATCGTACGACTTTGTTCATTTCGCAACAATAACACGTAGCTCTCACGTTTTTTAATCTGCGCGCGCGCGTGTGTGCTCTATCGAAGAAAGAGAACAAGTAGGAGAAAGAGAGCAAGTAGTGTCTGTGCAATCCTATTATACATAATCTGCCTAGCTCTTTTTTATAATACCGTGTGAAGTTTCACTTGTTTATTTATATATTCATCTTTCGTGCAAGAAATCGCTCAAGAGTCACGAGGCTCAATCTCGCTCCCCGCGATGCCGTCGTAGTTTTCAATCATGACATCATATTTTGTCAGATGTGACCTTATCTCACGATGCTTTCGTTCCAGAAAATTCGTCGAGATAAAAAATTGCATCGTAAATCTATTATTCCGAGTGCAACGTCCGATTGAAACTTGTGTCTTTTTGATCGTCGTCATTGGCGCCGTCGCCTTCGAGCGCGCTCGCCTGTCAGTAACGATGTTGTCGCCAACAGTTTTCGCACAGGATGGCGAAGAAAGGAAAAATTAAATAATTTACGATAGCGAGGCGCAGACGACACGTTACATATTGCGCCTGAACGTTATGCATATGCTTACGTGACTCGAGTCAGGTTCCCGACACACGGCGCATGCATTCGACAAATCTTTGACAAATATCAACAATAATAACATACGTATGTGATCACAATGAGAGGAATTTTTTTTTCCACCTACTCTGAGCACACAAGCGTATATATTTATACATACGATCGTGTACATGTGCACGCTTACGCACGAGCATTAAATATGTGTAATAATATATCTGATACGTCTCGAATAAACTATCGCCCGATAAAAAAAATATTAATTTTTTTCTTTCGTGGCAATTACGTTTCATTCGACAAATATCGCCTTATATTATCATCACAATGAGAAAGCAATATTTGATAAATTCGGCGTGATTTACTGAGTGGCGTGAGTGCATAACTCCTTTGACGCGCGAGTCTATATATATCGCACCACATACTTGCACGCTATTGCCTCCGACAGCCGATAATAATTTTATATGTTGCTTTTCTCTACGTTCTCTGATCGCGAATACTATCGATGACATCATAATTCGCTTTTAATCTTATTTGTGTAATATATTTTTGTCTATTTAGGCAAGGGCAGGATCATAATTAGCCACTTTTTCCTCTTAAAAATTCGATCAACAAAATAGCAGGCCGATGCGCATAAATTCACGTTAGAACTTTCATTATATTTAGATTTTTTAAAATATTTTTCCGAAGGCAAGCAGGACGTCATGACGCGCGGACAAAAAGAAAAAAAAATAATGCGAAGGTTCGCGTGGACCTGTAAGCAACAACGTTATAGAATCGCACGAGCATGAGTCAGCACTTATAGCAGCAGCGAGTGCGCGCGCACAACCGCTGAGATAAGCTAACAAATATGATAGTTTGAGCGTGTATTCTTAACACACAAAGCTTTGATCTATCTCTAACAAGTGGATGGCCGAAAAATTAATTTTTTTTCTTTCTCTGTCTTTCACGTTCGATTTGTATTAATCGTTCGATGTAATTGATGAGGCGTGAGCTTATTCCAACGCCCAAACCATGGCATTTGGTGTCAATAAACAACAGAGTCGGACGAGCGATTGCGCTCACGTGATAAGTGACACTAACGCGCGGCAATTTTCAATATACATATAGCGGTCATGACGCTCACTTAGACTTGTAGAAATGAACAATTGCAACGTTTTGTATATTATTTTTCGTCTAAAGCACGTGTGCGCTATCCTCACACGTACGCATTCTTATCTCTGGGACTGCATGGTATGAGGTGGAAGAAAAAAAAATCGCTTTATCGTTTGAGCTTCTACATTGTTCTTTTGCAAGCATATGAGAAACTTGAATACGTACTTGGAAAAAAAGGAAATGTTTTCGTCGCAGTCGTGGCCATTGCTAAACGAGCTGCTTGCAAAAATTCTAGGTATATCTATCACAGTCGTGTTTGATTATCACAATGAGGTAAAGAGAGTAATATTAAATCATAAGGACACTGGATTCATTTAATTTTCACGAATATCCTCGCGAGTCCGCTGATTTTGCGGCCGTGTGAATGGCGACGGCAGTGCTTTTCATCGTCCTCATCGCTAACGTCTCTAGGCTCGATCAATCTGGGCGCTGCTTGAAACACTTTTTCGCGATAATGATACATTCACTTTGGTGACTGAAGAACGGTGGACGTGCGTAAACGAACGGGGAAAACGCCCAACGCTCGCGTGGCTGTGAGCGCGCGCAACAATAATCCATCACATTTCACCGCGCTACAGCAGGCGCGCGTGTAACGGAAATACGCGTTATTGAGCACGAAATGCAGAAAAGCGTCTTGTTGCAGGAGCTGCGTCAGCCGTGGTGGCGTCGCAGAGCGAGTCTCGCGATCGACTGAATGGTCGCGCGGCGCGGCGTAGAGGCTTGGCCGAGGCTCGCAACCGGCGCGATAATGACGCTGATGAAAATAACACGAGTGTGCGTTATATTCGCGTGTGAGCTGCCTTACGAGTCTTTTTTTAATTCTTTTCTCGACACTTTTTTTTTGCATCGGCCGACTCGAGTGTTTATATTTGAGGAGATGACGCTGCTTAATATTATACCAACCAAAATACACATTTCACGCCTCGAGTCTTTTTTGTCTAGCTGCACGAGTCGCACTACGCATAGATCGATCGACCTTGATCCGTTAATTCGACTTTTCATGTTTTTATGTAGTTCAGAGGAAAAAAGAAAAATAAACATTGGGCCGGAGACGAGCTCAGAGGCGTATTATAAACATTGATACCTATAGCGAACTAAATATATTTATTAATATTTATAATTGAAAAACGTTGCGCAACCCTATGACTGATCCATTCATGTGTGCAACTACAAGTGCCATTAGTTCCTGTTTACTAATGTAACGATAAGCGCGAGACGCGGCTATAAAAACTTTTCACCCGACACAGCTTCATATTATTATATTATGTATTTCACCTTATGCTCACGTCGAGTCCCGAGAGCGAACAGAGATTAGATTCATGAGCGAATTAGTCACGTCTATATAGGTATCGCGAGTGTGAGACGTCGAGTGGACTCCCCTCCTTTGGCTTCTCTACTGCCGTTTTGCTTATAAGTCATCACCCGATGTAGTTGAATTGTTTTTCGTGTTTTCGCTCTGTCTTATGTTTCCTTTCTCTCTTACTCGACTGCGGCCCGCTGATTTATCGAGATTATGTTTATTTTCGATCAGCGCGTGCAGACCCATACAATGCCGTTGTACACGAATATACTAAATACATGTAATCGGCTGTACGGCTCGACTCAAACAGAGAAGAGCATTCAGCATACAACCGCATTGGACCGTTGCAGGTCCAGACCGGCAACTACGATGAAACAATACGCAACGCAAATAATCTGTATGCAATAATTTCAATAGAGCATTTTTTCTTTTACTAAGAGCTCGCCCATTAATTCAATCATGATATTGTCGACCGAAGTGCGGTTTAAACCGAGACGCAAATCCTTGAAACCAACGAGTCCGCTGATGTATATAAACCTCGTACCGCTCAAGCTCGTTCGCGACACTGTTCAGCGCAAAAGATAAAACGATGCAAAGCCGCTATGATTCTATGTCGAGTGCATCGAAAGACCCACGCTTGATACATCAAAAACTTCTCAAAAAAGCCGTTAGAACATTCTAGTTGAATGTTATGCGTTCCTGCCCAATATCACGATCGAGTCCCCCGGCATACGGTCGCGTACCGAATCTCGTAAATACATAGCAAGCCAATAAAAGTCGATTCCGAGAAAAATTATGAGATGCTATTTTCAGGTTAAAGACTTTATCGCGCTCGACAACAGTACACGCGTGATTTGATTCCATCGTGACCGTTACATTGTGCTAGGACAAAATAACTATAATTATTATATTGTTTCTGTGCTGTCTACACCTTAACATTTTTTTCTGTACCAGGTGTGTATGTGTACATTTATGAGCCGTTTGCTGAAAGATGTTTTTGTATGTTTGCGATGCCCGCGTTCAATTATCTGCGTGACTTTTCTAAGATGAATTCTCGCTGTTTAATACTTGTGAGAAAAATCTTATTCGGTTTATCAGACAAATATTTTTTTACTAATATATTGAACAAAAGTTAGATAAGAAAATTACAAATCTTCAATCGCCGAAAATTACAAATCAAGAATTTTTACTAATACGTACGTGCTGAGTATTCAAAGGGTAGATGAAAATTTTATCAGTTTCAATTTTAATGCCATGCTTACTTGCGTTCGTTGTAGACACGCGGTTGAGCAAATTTCTTCTTGCTTTGCGAACGCCATGTTTCGAATTTGCGCGGACCAATGAGAGGCGCCGAAAAAAGTTTCTGCGGCTCGGGCTAACAAATCACAGCTCGCCCTTACGGCAAAACCACTGCTTCGCGCGTCTCTACCTCATGCACGCTCGTCTAGTCCCTCATTCTTCGCTCAGCGATAGAACGTGAAGGATCTCAACTTTACGTGCTCTCTGCACTTGAACGCTTTCTGGTTTCTGTAATCCTCGATTACTATCTTGTTTTTTCCTTCTTTCAACGCAAGTAAAGGTAAGAGAAACTGAGTTAAATATTGTTATTTCCATAAAAGCAATATCGTACGTGATCTACATTTTTCTTTAATTTAATGAGAAATAAAACCCTTGCCTCATTAACCCTTCATTTTCGAATTAGTAAACTAGTTCAGTCTGTGAAATTATTACCAAGTTATATTCTTGACGATTTTAGAATTTGTCGGTCGTGTAATCATTTAAGTTTGAAATCTCGATCTATTGAAATCGACTATATAATCGAGTAAATTGAATTACTGCTCGCATTTTCAGCTTATGTTTTGTTTTCAACTACTCTTCGCTCGACGTTTCTGTGATAAGTGACCTTTATTTCTGTGTGTCCCATTACGATCGCGTATTTATGATTTCCTTTGTTATTAGTACATAAATTCAAACCCGAGTCTCGAGCGTATCATTCCCTAATAAGTGCGCTCGTTCTTTGTTTCTTCACTTGTCCCATTGCTTTGTTTGAACACATCCACGGTCACATTACTTCTGAACGTTACTGTACGCGAAATTCTTAGTAATCCCAATAATCGACAATTCACACGAGTTTATTCGGATTTGTTGGTTCTACTAAATTAATAAACTATTTAGCTTGATGAAACTAACTAGTTTTTAAAATGCAGCTTTATAATAAGTCTATAAAACAATAATATTGAAGTTGATTTAATTTTTTTTATGTTGCTTTTATTTCAGAAAAAAGATCAACATGAGCGACTGGGAAGAAGAAACTTTTTCTGTAGGACCTGTGAGTAATTCAATAATGTGAAATATATACATAATATTTAAACTATCTAATTACATAAAAAATTGCTAATTGAAACCTAGACTATCTCTGCTGGATATGGTCATGGTCACTTGAAAAATGATTTTAACGATGACTCTGGAACCTTTTGTAACAGCAAAAAGGACTATTACGACAATGAATATGTAAATAATGTTCCTATAAAAACTAAATCATGTGAATGTGATCAAGTTTATTAATGGGGATTGCGGGATTTCACTTTTTGATTGTTTAATGTTATCATTTGCCACTTTAATGACCAATTCATTTTAGTATTATTTTGATACCATTTTTGTCCATATCGACCAATCGTACGTCAATTTTCCAATCACTGCATGTCTCTTTGTTGCTGTTAATTCATGCATATTTAATGTGTAAAAATTTTAAATCTTGTCAATTACTAATAATTTTACATTGTATCTTACAGTCTCAAAATCAGGGAGGAGGAGGGGGTTTCAGAGGAAGTCGTGGTGGTGGTGGCGGCGGCAGAGGTGGAGGCTTTGGTAGAGGTCGTAGAAACGATGATGAAAACAGCTTTGATAATTCTAATGGATATGGCGGTGGAAAACGCAATGAAGATAATCCCTTCAGCAATGGTGGTGGTGGTGGAAGGAGCTATGGAAGTGGTGACAATGGAGAACGAAGTGGTGGTGGATTCAGAGGAGGAAGAGGTATGTATATTAACTTTTTTACTGAAGTACTTATGAAACTCTGATACTTAACACATTTTTAAGGTGGAAGAGGAGGAGGAGGAGGAGGTGGAAGAAGCTTCAATAGAAATAACAGCGAGCAAAGTGATAATCCTTATGGAAGTAGTAAAGGTTTTGATGATAATCAAAACGATAATCCATTTGGAAGCAGCAATAAAGGTGGATTTGGTGATGATAACAATGATGATCCATGGGGCAGTAAAGGTGGATTTGGTGATGATGGAAATGATAATTCATACGGAGGCAGAGGTAAAAAGTTTACTTGATATTTGACTGTTGGTGGGCGATATTAATTTGACATATCAATCCTACTTTTCAGGTGGTCGTGGCGGTGGTCGCGGACGTGGTCGAGGCGGTAGAGGTGGAGGAGGAGATCGTGGTGACCGCGAAGACCGTGGTTTTGGAGGAAATAAGGGAGACCGCGAAGACGGGGAAGGAGGCGACGAGAAGCCTAGAGAAGTCTACTGCCCACCAGAATGTCCAGAAGATGACACTTTGTTCGGAGTTGGAGTAAAAGCTGGTATTAACTTCAAGTAAGTTCTTCTAAGATTGATAATATTCAAAAATGTATATGATTATTTCATTAAAAAATTTTTTCTCTTTATTTTGTAGCAAATATTTTTCTATTGAAGTCAAGACTACAGGAAATGATATTCCACCTCCAATTACCACTTTTGCCCAAGCAAATCTTCGTGATTTGCTCAATGAGAATATAATGAAATCTGGCTATGAAACTCCAACACCGATTCAGAAATACGCTATCCCAATCCTAATGAAGGGTCGAGATTTGATGGCTTGTGCTCAAACAGGATCGGGAAAAACAGCTGCTTATATGATTCCCATCATTCATAAGTTGCTTGAGAAATCCAGAGATTACTCTGATATGGGTTCTGCTAATACAGTTGAGCCTCGGGCTCTTGTATTTGCCCCAACAAGAGAATTGGCGATTCAAATATCTGTTGAATCAAAGAAGTTCTCGAAAGGATCCTGTTTGAAGTGTCAAGTTGTGTATGGTGGTACATCTACGGGATTTCAAACAAGACAGATATTTAATGGTTGCGATATACTCGTTGCTACACCAGGAAGATTGCTTGATTTAGTAGGACGAGGAAAAATTTCATTCAATGCTATTGAATTTGTGGTTCTTGACGAAGCTGATCGTATGTTAGATATGGGATTCTTGGGCGATGTCGAAAAGGTAATTAAAAAATTTTTTATGAAAAATGTAGAGTATGCATTAAATTTTTATCATTTCAGGCTGTTCAACACGAAACAATGCCACCTACAAGCGAACGCCAAACTCTTATGTTCTCGGCGACGTTCCCCGATTCTATCCAAGAGTTGGCTAGGAGATTTTTAAACAACTACATATTTGTGACTGTTGGTATTGTTGGTGCTGCTTGTACAGACATCACCCAACAATTCTTGGAAGTTGGTAAAAGTGAAAAGAGAGGAAAGCTCCAAGAGATCCTGCAAGAAGAGCAAGTTCAGGGCAACATGGAAGGCATTATGGTTTTCGTTGATCAAAAAAGGACAGCAGATTTTGTGGCAGCCTTTTTATCTGAAAATGATTACCCTGCCACAAGTATTCATGGTGATCGGCTTCAAAGAGAAAGAGAACAAGCTCTTAACGATTTTAAAGTAAGGATGATCTTTTAAAAAACTTTATCTTAAAAATGTATAGAAACTGCAACTACATATCTATGGTTTTTTAATCTAATAGGCTGGACACAAGAAAATTTTGGTCGCCACTTCTGTTGCTGCTAGAGGTCTAGATATTCCCAAGGTCAGACATGTTATTAACTATGATTTACCAAAAGAAATTGATGATTATATTCATCGTATTGGTCGAACTGGACGCGTTGGAAATCAAGGTAAAGCGACTAGTTTCTATGATGGTCGTTTCGATTCGAGATTGCAAGGAGATCTATGCCGAATTTTGAACGATGCGAAACAAGAGATACCCGACTTCTTGTCTGCTGGGGCAGACGGCGGTACTTACGAATCTCAAGCTTTCGGTGGACAGGATATCCGGGTGAGTTACTCATTAATGTCTTATGAAAATTGATTAAAATTTTAAGTTTTCATTTCACGTTTAAAACTAAAATTTTTGTTTCAGTTTGATGATGCTCAATCCTCATACAAAGGTGCTGCACAACCAGTGGAGGCTGAAGAAGACTGGGAATAAATTGCAAATTTTTGCAAGCTGTTTAATGCTTTAACCACATTATTTAAACAGTATTCACGTCTACTAAGTAACTTATACTTAATTAGAATATTAAACTTCAAGATCGACAGTAGTCTTACTGTGTTAGTTAAACTTATAACTTATAAGTAACTTCTAAAATCACTAGCGATTAATAGCATTTTTATTAATTTTTTTTTTGAAATGTTGAACCTAACTGTAGGTTGAAATATTTTTTATACCAACCTAATTTTAGGTTTAGCATCAACGATAGTTAATGTAAACCGATTAAAAAGTTGATGACTATAATAAACTTAAGTATTTTTTGAAATTTTGCGTACGCTTATTGGCAAGTTATCATTTAAACCTTTTTTAATAATATCTAATTATTCACTACTGTACTTACCATCAGTCATGTTAAAATTTAAATCTTCATTGTTCCAATTGATTGGATCATCGAGCAAGTTGGAGAACATTGACGAGTCTGGATTTTGGTTCATACTGACGTTGTGCGTTCCATTGTTTTGGTAATACATTAAGTCGGTTGGTTCTGCTTTGTAATTGGTATTTGACTCTGCGCCCATGGGTTCGCTACTGTTGGTCAAATTCATCGATGTGGCAACAGCGGATCCCAAATTGGAAGCACCTGTAACGTCAAACCCTTAAGTTGAGGCAATTTTATTGATCGTTGTTATATTAATACACCCATACCTGCATTGTGGTAAGAGCCAGTAGAATTCAAGTCGCCTACGGGTGGTGCAAGGGTAGCATTGTTTAGGATAACATTCCGCGCGGCTCCTATGTGATCGTAGCCGTGATGTGTTACATTCACAGGTTCGTATACTTGTGAAGTTACATGGTGACTCAGATGGTGTGAGTAATGTTCATTGTTTCCATGATTAGTTGACTGACTATAAAATGGTGTAACCTCGGGCCATCTTTGGTCCATTTGTTGAGCTCGTGGATAAGACAATCTCGCCTGCAATGAAGAATAACGCACTGATCAGTTTTGGTACAAGTGAACAAATTGCATAGCAGTGTAGAGGATCGAGAAAGCGCGTAACGGGTTTCATCGGCACAAAATGAATCAAGGCGCTTTTTCTATAATATACACAGTCACACTTGTATAACTATCAAAATTCGAAGTGTCGAGAAGGACCCGAAATAACACTTCAAATCTCGTGACGAGTGTCTAAAGTCGTTTCTCGCGCCTGCTAAAATAGATACTTATCCCATTCGTGTTCATTTTTGACCTTTAACAAATCTATTTGGCATAATTTCTTGTCTCGCTCCGTTAAAAACTAGCCGAGTCGATCCATCATTTCAAATATTTTTGCGTTGGATTAAGAAAGAGAAAGAATCAAATTAAAAGAAAAAAAGAAGTGCCGCGATCGCAGTTCCTAAGTCGTAATATTTCAAAATCACCATTTGAATGGCTCGTGATATCGATCGTTTTTATCAGAATATTACACGCCAGACAGCGCAACAAAGGAGGATTATACATAACTCGAAGAGATCGATCTGCGACGTTTGACACATTCTCGCGTGCGCTGTAATCCTTTTTATTTTTCATACATTATACACACACACACACACAAACACATACACTTATATGTATTAAGATATATGTCGCGGCGCGCAGAAAAAAAGTGCACATACGCGAATTGATTATCAAATTGAATTATTTCGGATGGGCATTTTTTGTATTATTGGACATTGAAAAGTCGATCGATCGATCAAGCTGTGCAGGCGCGAGCGAGCTCCCCCCGCGAGTAAAACAAATGACATACAAATTGGTAATAATACTCGGAGGACGAAAAATAACAAATGGGAAAATTCACACCCACATAAAAATGTGGACGGTGATTTATTATTCCCGCGAGTGTAACGTCACAAATATATTGATGATCACTAGCTTGTTGAATAATACATTATAAATCAAAGTTTTGGTGCATCTCAAAAAGAGAGAAAAAAAGGAAAAAGTCGCGGGGGCAATCAGGCGCGCGGCCGTGTGATTGAATCCTCGAGAGGAGACATCAATCAGTCGCGAGTTGAAGCAGAGAGGATCTAGGTAGCGCGCGCAATCTGCTGCTGCTGCTGGCCCGCGACCAAGAGACAGCTGCTGCATATGCACAGCTCGAGCACACGCTCGTTTCCTCTGCCGCGTGCAGGACGCTTACAGCACAAACGCACCTAATGACGAAATTACTTTCGCGTCCGAGAGAGGCTCGATAATAGACTCTGGGCCGATTCGCCGCGCTATATTTTCTATTTTATCGATGTGCGTGCATTGCTCGCTCGAATGGGACATCCGTGGGAAGGCAATCGCTCGCCGATGATTAGCAATTGTTGCGACGAGTTTTTCGCCGCTCGATCGCATGCTAATACAGCAGCTTGTGTTTATCGGCATAATCATGCAGCGATGACGTTATGAAAATTGAGATGTTTCAATGTTTGGCCACATACTTTCCCGCAGCTTACGGCAAAAAACTCGTCGCGCAGATTCCGAGGGCAATGACTAATGAGAGGTAAATTAGTCGCGCTCCCAGCAGGAGCAGCTATAAAATCATAATATGTATCCTCCCGCTGTGACGAGCGCAGCAGCAGCTTGCCACTGTGTGCCGCCAATCCATTTTTTTCCCATTTTTGAGGCCTTACTATATTCACACGTTACGGCCGTCGTGTTTTTCTTTTCGTACTTTTCGGAATTGTACCCTTTCGATGCTACCGTGTAGCCGCTAAGCTATAATGCTCGACTCGCTCTCATCTCGGATCGACAAAAAGTGCAAACAAAAATAAACAAATGCGGGAGAAAATTTACTCTCTAGAAATATTCCACGAAGTTTAGCTGGCTTGAATCAATATTTGTAGTGCAACGAATTAAGAAACAAAAAAATAAAATAAAATAAAATCAGCCATGTAAAAAAGCATCCCACGAGTAGCTTATATTATAGATCTCGCGTTTGGAGCATCGCCGCCAAGCTGTTAAGCGTTATCGCAGCAATTAAAAAGAAGGCTGGACGCAGCGCGATGGCTCGGCCGAGGAACATATAGCCGCGAATCATTGCAGAATTATAGGAAGCAGCGTGGCAGGCCTGTGGCAAACCATGCAGCAGATTTTCTCTCGCTCTTTGGCCGCTGTATACGAAACAGCGTATGAAAGTACCGCAAAAGGCATAAATCACGACACTAGTGCTCGCCGCATGTTGTCGCCACTGGCCTTGTGGCCTTGCCTCGTCCACATCCTTTCTTTCTCATTTTTCTCCTTCTTTTCCCTACCTTCGTTCCCTCGCCTCCTATCCTCGCGTCCTCCGTGTTTATGTATCGATACTTGTGTTCTTGATTTTTCAACCCTAATTCCGCGCCTGCGCTCCTATTATGTAGGTGCACGCACGCGGTAATGACGTTTTAATGAAATGGCGAAAATTGCCGCATTACGTTGTAAACACATAAAAATATAAGGTCGTAGAGCGACAGCAGCAGCAGCAGCAGCATCAAAGCTCGCGGATTACGGAAGTCGTTAGCGCACAAATCACTTTTCGCTTCTTCGCCTGGACGAGCGCGCGACAATATCTCTCCCTTTGGGCTTTCACGACTCGCGCGTCTACACCATTAGGCTTAAAGAGAAAAGAGGCAATCATTATTGCGAGCCTCGCCACCGATTTCCGACTTGCCTTCGGTCTAATATGAATCAAGTGAATTTCCACGGCGCACTGCTCATTGAATAATGCACAACTCGCTGGTGGAGACAAAAAACGACTCAGCGTGTCGTGCGCCTGCGGAGTAGTGTGTGCGTGCGCTAGCGAGCGAATATTATATGCGTGTAAATAATAATAACAAAAATGTATGGAATACAGCTCGCGCGGCTAGCTAATGCATGTGTATGCGTATGTTCGAGACGTATATATATAGAAAGATATAGCGGCGAGGCGCGCGAAACATATCATTTTTTGGCGCATCACGCGATATATATTAGCTCTGACCCTCGCGCGCGCACAACACACAATCTGTAATTGTCGTACATGTACGTAAGTACGTGCGACATGTGAAGAGAAAAAAACCTTGCTTTTGTCGGTCAGACGAGGCGATTCAAAGAGCGATCGTCACGATCGCGATTCAAATTTCCCATGTGCACCGATGTTCCCGTCGAAATTGCCTGGACCGACAACCACCACCCACATGTCTTGACCGAGCGCGGTGATAATGTTTTAATTAAATATCGGCATTTGTACTTGCAAAGCTCCAGGAGCCGTTGAAAGTCACTTTGCGGCGCTTCGATTGCTTGACAGGATAGTGTCTATTTAAAACCCTTTTGACTCGAGGTACGAATGCGGTAAAATTACGACAGACCTCGGACAAGAGTGCACACTTCGCGACGGTCGAAATTCAGGCAGACGAGAAAATTGTAAGTTGCGTTGAGTTATGCTCTTGACTCGCGCCTCCGTCCACGTACCGAGAAAACTATTAATCCTTGATATTCAAAAAACGATTACAAGTCGCCGTCGTGTCAATTCGCGAAACTTTTACATAACGAAAAAGACGAGTACGAGAGAGACCTCGTGTGCTTCTGGCGTTGCGATGTGTACGCGCGCGCGTGTGTGTGTACGTACATACGCCGATCATTACATAGAAGACGCGCGCGGGGCTTGACAATTATATGTATTGCACATGCTTTTGCGCGCACTATACGCTGGATATATATTTCACATGTACTGATTTCGTTTTTTTTTCTCACTAATGCACATTTAATGAAAGAAAATGCATGAATCGACGTCACGTGAAAAATAATCGATAATGTTTAATAAAAAAAGGAAAAAGAAAAACATACGTCGTGTGAAAAACAGCTACTGTTACTGTGATTGTTGTTATTGTTGAAATTGTGGTAACTGTTGTAATTGTTGTAATGATTGTTATTATTGGTGACGATGGTGGAGTTTGGATTGTCCTTGTTAGAATTATTGTTCTCGGCGGACCACATAGAGGCAAAACAACCGATAATACTATCACAAGAAGGTGGATGTTGGACTTCCATTTCAGGTGAATAAAAATTGTGTTAAAATCACTAAACACACACTACACGTCCGCAACGGTAAATCGGTGCTTCTCGGTTTGACCGAAAAACATGTCCGATCGCGGCAACTCTTCGTACACAACTAATAGTTACGTCGTACGGCTTTCCAAGCTCTGCTGGATAACTGACTTGAAAGAAAACTTCAGACGCCGCTGATACTTGTACATGTGATCTGTACTTGCGACTAGAGGAAGGGGAAGCGCCGCGGAAGGAGCCGCCTATTGGAGACAATTTTGGGCGGGGTGTGCTCGGAAACAGAGGCCACAGATGATATCGAATTACTTAATTAAGATTCAGTACGAAGATGCTGCCGATTTGTGTGCAACCTCAAGCCATTGAGATCCGTTCTCCAAGCTTACATCCTCATTTTGAATAGTAATTTGTAAAGCGTCGAGTCAACATAAAGTGTATCATTCATCGCTGGCGCGTGTACACATTTTTTCGGACTTTAATAAAGTTGTTTTTCCACCGGCGCATAAGAGATGTTTACGGAAATTATATGTACTTACGGCCAACCAATAGGTCGTTGTCGCATGCATTAGCGCGATTTCGAAGGATGATTTAACAATTTTATTCTCCGAGTCTGAGAGTCGAAATTTTCTACCTTCCAGGCTCGCGCGGCGAAAAAAAGGGGTAACGTTGCGAAGCCACAGTAATATATCGCCGATGATTTGCGAGTTTGTGGGAGGGGTCTTGAAAATTACACGCGTACATTTACAGGGGTCATTGCAAACGATGGCTATTTACTCCGGGCGATGGCTTTTAAAACGCCAGCTTTCGCGGTTTATCTGCTGCTAAAAATCTTTTTTAGCCTGAGGAGCTTTTCTTTCTCTCTCTCTCTCTACTTCTATCTTCGCCGACTCTAGGATTTACTATGGAGCTCACAAAAATTGTCCTTTTTAAATTTTCACGGAGAACATTGCAATCAGCGCGTAAATGTGTGTATCGTAAAAATCAGCGTCGATTCGGCTTGCATAACGTCGCTACTGCATCTTCGCGTATGTGCCGCCGCGATACTCTAATAACTGTTTATTATCTCTCCGCTGCGACACACTAGTTTTTTTTTCATTACAGCTCGATCGCGAACGTTTTGTATGTACGCGGAAAAATCGTTACTTTTATAACGATAATTGTTTTGGGCTCGCGTACGCGGTAGGATTTTTTTTGCGTGCAGGGCACACAGCGCACGGGACGAAGAACGCATAAAACGGAGTCGAGCAGTTTACGATTTCGTAAACGCCGTATCGTATATCAACGTCTCGTTCTGGCCAAAGCCACTCATTACTCTGGGCATAGTTTATAGTTGCACGCCGCGCTCTTTTATGGAGTGTTGAATTTTTTCATATGTCCACTTTTCTTTAGGTGCGCACGACTCCAAACGAATAGTTTTCCGTTACGAGCTTGATACGTGCATTAAAGTACGCATTGTATGAAATAAAACGTTGATAAAATGAATAGTAGTCTTACCTGATGGAAGCCACGATGGGGATGGGGATGATATTGCGGCGTGTGAATCATGTTGGAATCGTCGCTTGCTTTCTCTTCTGACTTTTTAGTCTCCTTATCGGACTTAGAAATATCTTTCTTGGCTAAGTTTCCGTTCTTTTTGCAGGGTTTATCTGGTTCCGTGCAAGGCTTCTTTTCTTCGAAACTGTCGACGCTGCAACTCGAGCGTCGCTTGTTGCTGCTTTTCTTTTTTGTGATGTCCTTTTTCTAAACACAAACACACACATAGACGTTCGTCGAATTATTAGTTAAGCGCACACATAGAGAGAGCAAGGCCATTAGAATAACATTTGCTTTTTGGATAGGGAAAAGTTTTTCAAGAAGAAGATTAATGGTATTTTTATATCAAACTAGTGCGAAATCGTTCACGCTTAAGAAAACACGAATTTACTCGAAATTGTACAAGGCTCGAGAGAAATGGAAAAAATTTTAAGGGAAACTTTGAGTTGAAAAGCTTACCTGGATTTCTTCCTCGTCTTCGACAGAATGCAAACCCAGCAAAGCTTCCTCGAGATTGAAGGTATCAGTCAAGCCCAGGGAATCGTTGTTGAGGAGTCCTACCTCGTCGCAGGAACCGAGCAGGGAGTCGGCATTGAGCAATTGCGAAGCAAAGTCATCACCCGAGAGAGAGAGACTCAAGGAGTCGTCGACTAGACCGACCAAATGATCAGCTCCGATCAGCAGAGGTCGCTCGCCGATGTCATCGTCGCAGTCGGCGGCGGAAGAGGCAGCGCTCGGGCCGACGGCTAGAGCGCTCGAGACTCCGGCCTCGCTCGGAGAAGACGAGCTCAACGAGGACGACGGATACGAGCCGATCGATTGCTCCGGCGTCGACGAAGAAGTCGACGGCTCCGCTGTTAGCTCTTCCTGTTGTGACTCGCTCGGCTGCTCTTTTCTATTCTCGGCGCTGAGCTCGGGCCATCCGTCGGCTAGATTAGTCAGGTATTCCCCTATAAAAGCCGAATTCGTTAATTTCAGGACGTCGATATAATTTAACTCATTAGCGCGCGCGCGCGACTTAATAATCTTTAAATACTAGCGGCCCGAAGCGGGGCGACGTTCATGAGAGAATATTTTTTTCTCAAGCAATTATAACTGCGTCGAGCGACGCGTTTAATTTCACGTGTATATACTTGATATTATAATAAGTCGAGCGTCGAATCGGCTCTCTACATGAATTCCACGGCGAAAGAAAAACATAAACCGAAATCTGCTTATTATTATTCAGGTGGTTTGGCTTTTCCATACGCGCCGGACCGAATCCTTGCTTGTATACACGCCAGTGCTCAAACGAGAGAAAAAAAGGCAAATGTTTGAGCAATGCGCGATTGAAATTTCAAGTTGGACCTTGGCTCTTGAAGAGCATATATTTCGATACGAAATAAAGATATATATTCTTTTCGCTCTCTGCTGGCCCTCGACCGACGCTCGACTCACGGGCACGATGACGGCTTGATGAAATTTGCAGATATTAAAAGTGTTCTCTGTTCTCTTCTTTTGCGTAAATCAAAATGTTTAGCGTGCCTGAGCGATGCGTGTTCTACAAGATCGATCTCTTGTTCGGGACAGCGTATTAGAAATATTTTGCGGGTATCGTTTCGACAGACCGTCCATTATTTCTTGGACATTGAGAAAAATTCAATACGGCCGGTCAAATATCACGACGCATTAAGATTGTGGTGTGCAATCGGATTTCTTGTAGGAAGTGATGAGAGTAGCTTCTGTCACACAATTAAACACTTCATAAAAGTACTAACGACGTATTATTTTGGGTGGGCAGGAGATAATCACCTTTGATGCATTGGTCGAGTCCGCTTTCTTTTGAGGAAGTGTGCCAGGCACGCGCTCGCCTTTGTATTCACACCATATGACCACTAGCTTCGTGCATTTATAATTAGGTAGTTCACACAGTGATTAATGACCGAATTTCATCAAGAGGATTTTCAATTCCAAAGCGTAAGGAAAAACCAAAAAAAGTGCTGAGCCAATGTTTACTTAAGATCTCGAATTTTTACTGTCAAAAATATCATTAATTTTTATATAAGGGTAGGAAGTATTTCTGATTTCAGTAATGGATTACAATTTTAATTTATACTATAAAAACAAACTTTTCATAAGAATTTCATGCAATTGTAAAAAATCTTCGTTACGCATGTGCTGTGCGAGATCTAAAGTGGCAATGATGCGGCATGTTTCAAGTCCCACGAGATCAATTTTCAAAAAAAGGGTATAGTTTAAGCCGAAGTTCAAAGAAAAACCAATCGCTTATTGTACTGTTCAACGCAACGATACGAGTTGACTTTTTTATCAATTGAACTACTATACACATTACTCAATCTTGTCAAAAATATTCCACTTTTTGTATATTCCATGTGTTATTCCTAAATTCAAATTAGTTGGCCGTCGTAACAATATATCCATTAAAACTCATTACAGGGTTCATATTACAGCTAGTGCCGTATGCTTTTGTTTTATTTCAAATTATCTAAATTCGTTACAATATGCACTACACTGAGAAAGATAACTAAAAAAATTACTATGCTCGCAGAAATCGCGGGATATACTCAATAATACTAAAATTACTACGTTCCAGTAATTTTTACCTTATGTAGTGATTTGTGCGGCGTTGAACTTTTTTTCACGAAAACTTGGCAACTATCACAAAAATATTCGTTGCTGGTAGAAAAAATGTGTATAATCTTATCACCCACTTATCACCACCAACAGAACGATTAGCACCAAACCTCACTAACAAAAGTAACGAATTAAATGGCTGATCCTGAGAGGCGCACTAAACTACAGAAATCGTCGGTCCGCTCCGGGCAAAGCGCAATTCGAGACTGCTCGAACCCTTGCGAGCTGTTGTCCGCGAAAACCCAAGCGCAAAGGTGTGCGTGCGTATGCGTGTATAGGTAAGTATAGGTGTGTATAGGTGTGCAGGCATGTGAGCGCGTATGGGTGTGCGCTATGTGTGTATGAGTACGTTTGAGAGTGGGCACGATGAAAAAAATCGGTACAGGTAACTGACATGAAGAAGTTGAAACAAGTTACGAGCCGAGTGAAAGGACGCCCCCTTGGAGGGGGGGAGGGGACAACAGCCAATGGCGGATGGCTGGTTCGCCCATGATCGCTCTCATACCGTTAAGAACGAAAAGCCATGGAAGGGATCGGAGCACTGGAGTAGGGATCGATTCCCCAACTTTCGTATTTTACACACAAACATCAGTGTATGTTGCCAATAAATGAGATACTTGGATAACTATGGAGAATGGAGCTGAAAATGTGGAGATGAATACTGTGCAGGATTGCCTTTTCTCCTTTTGAGATAGATTAGAAAAATTTATTATTTGGCCATTAAATATATATGTGGAAATATTTAAATTTAGGCTTCAAGTGCCACTGAATGTTAGAAAAGATGATCTAAAGTAAACTCAGTAAAAGGAGTTCTTTATATTTAACATACAAATCATTCAAATAACATACTTCAATTAATATTTGAGTTTTATATAAGAAGCAATAAACTTGGCAAAGTAAAGAGGGTAGACGGAACAATATAGTAAATATGAAAAATTAAAGCATACGAGAATGCATTCAAATGCATATTCAAGTTTTTGATGAAAACGATAATCGCCTATAAAGTTGATATAGATCATGCGTGCGAGCAAGTCCGAGTGCGGCGTGAGGCGTCCACTCAGTTTTTGACTAATCTCAAAATCCGAGGAGAAACGCCGGACGTCCAATTAAAGTTATTCAGTGTCATAATAAATTCTTAATTGTCGCGATACGTCATCGGTGATTGGCGCCGATAAATAAATTTCCGACCATAATTTTTGACCACATCTCAGTTTGCGTCTGTCAACACTGAAAAATCAGGTTGTCATGGCCATCTAGCGCTTACTTGTCTCAATCTCCAAATTTATCCACTTTTTCGTCGTTGGAAACCGCCAAGATGCACTTAATAAAGGTTTGTTGCGATCGGATTACAGAGATCTCTCGGTAGCACAGATTCAATAGACAATAGATTTGACTCATCGTGCAATAGTCGATCATAATTAACGAGCTAGATTCCGAGAATGACTGTGTAGTTGGACGAGTGCAAGACAGCTCTGTCAGATGAGTCGCATGGATTGTCATTTTTGGCGCACGCGACGCGTGCCTCCTTCAAGAATATACGATTGTCGAATTGGCGCAAGTCAAAACATATCGGCGCGTTTCTCAACGCGACGGGCGACGGCGGATCAAAAAGACTAGACGTATAAACGATTTCGTGTAATACGTATCTTGATAGGAATGAACCAATCGCTTTATAATTTCGAAAGTGCGTCATGCGCACTCCTGGCTCTATATATATAATACCGAATCGAGGTACACACGCGAGCGAGTCCCGTGTGCCCCGCGTTGGACGTGTATACACGAAAATATCGGTATGTACATACGCGGGCGCTCAGCATGAGCGCGTATGTGTATGTAAGCTGCCTTTTTTAATTCACAAACACGAGTGTAATATGTACAAGCGATGGGAAAAAATTTCACTCGATGTAAAAAAATTGTAGGAAAAAATTCGCTGACGGATATTCCACGGGCTTTGTTCTTCTACATATACAAGCGAGAGCCGCGAAGCGTCGAGGACCCGCAACGATGCTTCGTCGACGATGCTAACGGTGAAATTGCCCAAACGATCCACATTCTTTTATCAGCATCCATTTGAGTCGAGCGATGCCGATCCATTCGCTTTCGAGTGTGAATGTCAACGTACAGTGCCATCGATAAGGACGAGCATCAACTGTCCTCATCCTACTCATCATTGCTCCAAGACATCAATTAGCTCTTTCCGTTGACATAATTACGTCGATGACACGTTTTGACATCAAGTGTCGGAAAAATAATCGACTCATTAACAAGTGTGAAAAAGTATAGCGATATGTTTTTCTTTTGTAAATCTTCTACTCACTATACACACAAACATAGACGTACACTTGGGAATGGCCAAAGGGTTGACAAAAATACATCTCCCAAGCTGCAAAATCATCGTTTACATGACATAGCAACTAGGTCAAGAGTATCAACAGTAGCACACACACACTCACACACACATATACAGTGCAAAGACTTGAAAATTAGCAACCGCATCGGAAGAAGATGAAAAGTGCGATGTTATGCCGTGTTACATAAAAAAAATCTCGATGACTCGCGAAGGTCCTCGATATCTTTTGCGCCATCTGTATACACACACACACATACACATATAATATATATGGATACATATACACACACATATAGTCGTACTTAAATTTCCAACGCAAGTCATGCTTAGAGGGTGGAATTTGATTTTTTGCATCATCGCATAATAAGTATCTCTGCAGTAGCTTGCAAGCAGCTGATCGATATACTCGGCAAATAATCAATAGTCCTTAGATTGTTTGCGCGAAATGTTAGATCGATAGTTGCATACGAGATTTACTTTAATCCAAGCTAACTAAAAAATTTCTCGATATTTTCGACTGGTGAAAATTATTATCGAACCGACTCTGCGGCATTCCCCGATAAATCGTTTGAGGTTTTGTGGAGAATTTTTTCGACGCGTGTTTCAGGGCAAAGGGGTCAAAATATGAAATTTTAATCCGCAATCGGTCGATGGCATCTGTTGTCTGGTCGGTTTAGTCGACTAGGTTTACAATTTCCATATGAGCCTCGCGCATACGGTACATACGAAGGCTCGAGTTGTACCAACCCACCGCCTACCAACTTCCTGCCATTGAAAAATATTCGTAATTTCGTATTTGGGTTGGCGCTATTGTATTCTGAATAGGAGTCTGGCACGTTGAGAAAGGATTGGACTTTGCTAGGACTAAGATCTAGCAGCTACTCCAAGTGCCGCACACGGAGGTATCCTCGCCTCGGAGCACCACAATAGGAGCTTTCTTGACTTTTCCGAGAGCCGATGCAGCAGCGCCACGAAAAAGAAAGAGCAAAAGAACGAGGAAAAGAAAAGGAAAAAAAAGAAACGCCAGCACTTGTCGCTGGAGTTGATATTTGTTGAAGCGAAAAGGAGTATTGGCGCCTAATACAATAACAGCTTGTGTCTATAGACGCGCGAGGTGCTCTTCAGGTGACAGCCAGGCAGCATACGCGTTGTCGGCCGGCAGCAAGTCCGCGTGGCGTGTTTGCGTTAGAGTGAAACACGGCGCCAGAAGAGCTTTGCAGCTCTCGGGAGCAGCAAGTTGCTTTTTTAAGAGGTATAATTACATATACAGCGACTGCTGCAGCTCGTTATGTTTGTCTTGGACTCGGACTAAGATATTTTCATAATTTGAGGATTACGAAAAGTCAGGTGGGAACAGGTGGCGGCTGGCGCAGAACAGCGTCTTATACTTTTTCTCCGGCCAGCCATATCTAAACTTTTCCTTTTGCCCGCTAAGCTACACCTAACTACATCCTCGACTATTTTCCGTTCTTTCCGTTCTGTGCGTAGCTGTGATCTTAGCGCGGATTAGAACATATCGATTATGTCTATTGCCTCTTGGGGATAGGCGCGTTTCTTTGGAGATCCATCCGCCTGAAGAACTTAACATCGCGTTTCTCGATAATTGGGATTTTATGTGAGTTTTCCAGCGGTACTCTGGTGCTCGAGGCTTTTTCGCCCCGACACATAGGAACGATCCATCAGCCGCCGCCGCCATTGCCGTATCGAGGGCCGACACACACAATACCACCCCGCACGTATTCGCGCTCGCGCATTGTGCGTATCGACCAAACGCCAGCTCTCTTTCTCTCTGACGTACGTATATATACCTACCTCTGCCAGCCGAAAAAAAGGCAAAAAATTATTATTATCGGTACGCTCGGCGGTAATACACGAAGCATTCAATTCCCATAGCTCTTCATATACCTATATAGCAGTATAAGTATATGTTTATACCTATAGGTTGCGCTTGTACATGTACAGAGATACGCGCACACACATACGGAGGAGCGCTACACGAACACATACATCTGGTCGTCGACTTTTATTAATGAAAAAAAAGAGCAGAAAAGCATCGAGCCCTGGGTAATATCCCCAAGGGGGATGTGTTGCCAACAAGAGAGGTGAGAGGGAATCGAGACCGACGTCATGACTTGCCAAAAGTTTGTACTGAAAACCACCGCTGCTAAGCGCGTGCTCGTACCATTACTCAAACGAAGCTCGCTTCTCGCTTCTCTCTCTCTTTCTCTCTCTTTCTCTCTCTTTTTTTCCAAGTGGATCGATGAATAGACGTGTATATACGTATACGATATACGAGCGCTGCAGTTGGATTTGGCTTTTGTATTGCTTGGCATCGCATCACCAGTGTATACCCGTATCGGGATACAGCCATGGAGAAAGATTTTGTTTTTTTTTCCATTTCTTTTTTTTTCTCTCGAATGTGGAACGGACACAATGCATCACACAATATGTCGGTGATCGTGCGTATTTTAGGTTTCATTTGTTTCTTGCGTGATGAAGTTGGTCAGAGAGAAGCCAGGCTGTAATTAATCAATCGCTGATCATACATTTTTCCAGTTTTCAGCTCGAGGATCCGCGGTATTTCGAGACAAAACTCTGATTTCGGTTTCGTTTGAAGGCCCGAAGAAGCTCGGTCGCGCGCGCGTGCAGCTGTATATAAGAGAGCATCCCGAGAGATCGTGGCTTTTTAAGCGCCGAACGCAACCAACTCGAGCCGCAAGTATATCGATTGGAAACTATTGTGCTCGACACACGCGTACGCGCGCAGCCACGCTCCGTATTACGCGTAACTACTCTTGGCTCGCAATTCTTGCCATTCGACACTTTGCTACGCCGAAAAAAACGTTGAAAAACTAACGGAAGCCGCCTTTCCTTTCCCCCTTCGTTTTCGGCTTAGCTTATGATAAACGAACGCGTAAATTAAAAGAGTCCGGGTACCTAGGCGCGCGGCTAAGCGATTCGTGACTAATCAAGCCGGAAATTGCCACCTCGTTTTAATCAAACTTTGTAATTTCGTATTGCGTATCGATTATTATTCATCTCGATTCTAAACTCGTCTCTTTGCGAATATGAAATATGACGACTCGGGCTCGCGTAGCCATAAATCGCGCCAGCAGCAGGAGCAGCAGCAAAAAATGTACATTTTAATACACGTTTTTAATGCAGCAAAACAATGAAGCGATTGTTTCATTCAATTCACGGAACGATTGAAAAAGGCAAGTAGCGAATAGCCTTGATGGATGCTTGAGGCCACCCCCATAACGCGTTGGCCGCGCTCGCAGATAAGAGCCTAGGCAGAGTCAGTCTTCCGATCGAGCGAGCACGATTTGCGCCCTCGAGCAGATGGCTGAGCAGCCCGGGCCACGCAGACACGTGGCACTAGGATACGCGCGATACAGCCGCAAGGACGCATCCGCGTTCCGTCGTTCGCGCTGGAAAATCTTGATTCGTTTTTGTTCCAAGACGGAATTGGACAATTATTTATGCACCGCGTCGTTCGTCGTTCGTGTATAGGCTCGCTCGCTCGCTCGCGATGACGAGTACACACGTTGATGAAAAACGTTGATGCACACGAGAGCTGCGCAGACGCGAACGACTGCGCCGAGAGAGATCGGTATCGTCGCGCGCGCCCGAGTCAGAAAAACAATGGCGCAAAAAAGGCACGCGGGAACACGGCTCGACTGCTAAATGTACACTCTCGAGGCATACAGTAATTAAAGTCGAGTCGCTCGGCAGCAGGAGCGTGCGCGCGCGGCTGTTCTCAGGAAAAGCTATTTTCCCCGTGTAGTGCAGCCAGGCCAGGGTAGCGAGGAAAAAAAAAGGATCGAAAATTACATCGCTGCTCCACGGCGTGCTAGCCGCGGGCTTTTATGCGCGCCAGCCTCGAGAGAGATCGCTGCCAATGATAAGTGCAGCGCACGTAATGAGCGCACGCTGTGAACTCGTGTATCGCGCGCTCCACGCCGCGAGACTCGAAAGTAAAATGGCCGCACGTGTATCGCTGTATATTGCAGCTCGCAGCTCGAGTACAACACCGAACGCTCGACGAACGGGTCGAGGTAATTTTCCCTCCCCCCTCGCCTTTCTTTGTGTGGCCGCGCGTAATTGCGAGCTACGCAAAACGCGACAAAACTCGAGCGGCAATTCGACCAGCCGCCTAATAATAAAGCCGGAGGTCAGTGGCAAATCGAGTAGCTCGAGTCCGCGATCGGATCCATGCAGCTACGCGATATATACCTGTAGCAAGCGATGACGAACTAACTTTCAAAGCCATAGTCAGCAAATGACGCATCAACTTAATCCGACTTGGCCGTACACCTCGATGCAGCTATACAGTGCTATATATTAAAAGCAGATGAGCCTAAAACACCTCTAATTGAAGCTAATTAAAAGTTTTGCAGTCGAACGAGTTTCATCTTGCTCGGTGCAAATTTGACGCTTTTTTCAGCGATTTGCTTTGCGCGCGGGGCTGCTGCCTCTGGAGCCCCTCCTTTGTTCGCGAAACAGGCCGAATTCCAACTTTCCCATCTTTCTTTCACTCCGCGAGAACATCTCCAGGCTCTTCTCCTCCTCCTCCTCCTCCTCCTCCTCTTGGCTTTGCAGCAGGCAATTAAAGTTCCAACTTTGACAGACCGAGAGGGGGAGTAGAAGCTGAACTCGATGTACCTTCTGCGCCCGCAAATTTACCTCTGACTATATATAGCATACACATATATCCACGTATATAGAAAGAGAAGGCGTGACTTGAACGCCACTCCCCAGTTTCGCTCGCCAGTTCGCGAATACATGTATGCGTACGCGCGCGTGTATGTGCCAACTCACACACAAAGCACATTGTGAGCTGCAGTCTTTTGGCACGCGGGGAGAGGGTAAAAGTGAACGCACCCATTTTGCCGCGCCCCAGCGTCAGGAATTTGACGGGTTGCCTTTTTTTATTCCTGCCTTTTTTTTCGCTAATTGTAACGAGTTTTTTTTCATCCAAACTTGAGTAGTTTTGGTTCGAGCGCTCTTCGATCGACAGCTCGACAAAAGAAATAGACCAGTATGGTACGCGGATACAAATAAAAAAATTACGTGACTATCGCTACTATAATAAAAATTGAAGCCCGATCAAGAGCTTCCACGCGCTCGATCTCGCTTGAGAATTAAAATTTTTCAAAGATTATCTTACCAGTCTCTCCATCGATGGGGTACGGAAAATGTGACCAATCGTTCGGATCTTCGGGCTTTGGATCTTGATTTTTCGACTCGTCTTGTTCCTCTGCATTCTGCAATTTTTTGCATTAAAAAAACTTTCATGCGTCAAATAGTTAAGTAATAATAGTCAGTATACGGTCGTTCGAGCAGGAATAGCCAGGAACCTCCTTGCATGGTTGTTTGTTTTTTTTTACACGCGCGATGACTCTGCTATACACGCTCATTTGATCCTCAAAATCCATTTTGTAACTCATCGAAAGATACATATAGATGGATATACGGTATTATTATTCCTTCGAGTATTGTGAACACGTCCGATATGAATGCTTTCATTAATAGTATTAGACTTTCGCGCCTAACATCGCATTAAGTTATAGCAGCGAAGCAATAATTTTTTCAATTTAAAAAACGTTGTGATTACCCTAAAATGTCATTTTTCTGTTTTTCTTAAGTCACGATTGTTTTGCTAAAGCGATTAGTCGATGATGCAGACGTCTTTCGGAACTGGCTGCATGCCATCAGTCGATGACCGCTCTAATTTTTTCGGAAGAAATTGCTATTAATTATGTCGTTATATCAACATTTGTCTACCAATATTTTACAAGTCGAGATAATAATAATTGATACATTTCGATATATTCCGAAAGAGGAGAATACTCGGTCGAGGCGCTCGCACACTCACTCGCGCAAATCGTTTGAGTTTGAGTAGATTAGCCTTCACTTCACACCTCACCTGTCAAGACGCGTATAAATACAGAACGAGAGATATACACGGGTGTTTATAAGCAAATATAAGCCGTCACGTTCGTTTAGTTAACATCGATCGATGAAATGTATTATTTTAGTAATATTCATAAATAAGCTCAATGTTGCGTCGCAAACCGATATGTATTTAAGAAGTTGGGAATTTGCAAATTCGGTCGCACTCCCTCGCAAAATAACCGAATCGTACGAATCAACGAGGACGAAGAAAAAAGCCGTCATCGCGTGGTGCGGGCGAATTGTTGAAAACATAAATATTTCGACGCTCGGGCAAAAATAAGCAGTCGCAGGCCCAAGGCACTCGTCGAGTCCGGAGTCGCATCGAGCATCAAGGCCAGAGAAGTCGTTCATTTTTATAAGAGAAATATCTCTTGACACAAGCGCACGGCAAGAAACGCGCAGGCAGACATACACCGAGAGGTGAATTAAAAGTGAACGAAGGTGAAGAGCTGCTTTTCACGCGCAGAGCCTGCATACATATTGTGACGGCTGGAGAGATGCTTGATTCGTCGTTTTTTTTCACGTGACTGCGGCTAGTGGCGCTGTTACCACCATCCCGAAGCAGTACAAATGGAATCAAAATATTGATATTCCTTGTACAGACGCCAATGCGTAGACTCAACGCAATGTAAGTTAAAACAAACGAAATTTTCACTCACGAGTTATAGACGGGACAGATGAGGAGATATCCAGGAAAGTCAGAAAAGCATGGTTGAAAAAACGTTCAGTCTCCATATCGTGTGATAACGCGCGAAACGATACTCGGTAAGTCAAACTTCACCAGAGCTCGAACTTTTTATATCACCGCTATCTACACCACGTTGCCTGGGCTATATACTGCCTACGTATATTTATTGTGTACACAAATGAAAATAGCAGCATTATTATACTTTGAGCGTACGAGCATGGCTCGACGCACGACTGACGCGACTCGTACATACGCACAGGCGCAAATCCAAGTAGAATGGCACACGTGCGACATGCACAAACACAAACTGTCGTACGAGAAGCTATTAATCATCCCGAGCCCCGGTCTGGTTCTATGCAGCCTCGTCTCATACAGACCCTGGATTATTACGATCGATCGGTTGGCTCGGCTCAAGCTCCATTTGGATAGCAACGACGAAAAGCTCGTGTCGTGTGCGATTTGCCCGCGCGCCAGCTTTGAGCTTGAAAAAGCGGCGACGGTCGAGCCAAGTAATACGAAAAAGAGGGTTCGCGGGCGCCACTCGGGCTCCGATCCCATTTTTGATGTACACGCACAGAGGCTCTTGTTCTCCGAGGCTGCACTCGTACTATCTGAGGCAGCTCGCTAACATTCATCATCCGGTACCAGCGCACGAAACTCTACACACGAAAATTATTTCGCGCGCAATAAAATCAGTGAAAAATGACGCCAGTTCGAGTCGGCCAAAAACAAAAACCTCTAGAACAACAACGGAGACTTTTGTTTCTTTTTTTCGTACCGTTTTTTTTTTTTTTTTTTTTTTTTTGTTGCGTCCATCGATCGAATGTAGCATACGCGAGACAGGAACGCGATATACCACACGCGGGGTTACATGCTCTACGGCGAAAATGCAAGTCAGGCCTGATTAGAGCCAACTTTCTTTTTCATTTCACGAGGCAGCGCAGTGGCTCGCGAGCGCGCGCGAAAACTAGCCATACATTTAATACATAAAGTGGTACGGCGCATTTTTCGATTCGATGCCTGCACGTTGAAATTACCTAAGAGCTCGAAGCGCGTTTGGCTTTTATTTTTTCCTTATCTGCAGAATACGGCTCGAGCTGCGCGTCAATGACGGACCTCGCGTGGAAGCTCATACCGCCGTATTATATTATGTAGTAAAAGGACAAGTCGCGGCGTCTCGAAGGAGCGAAGCTACGTACGCGCGCGGCCCTCTTCACGTCACGCGAGCGAATCGCTTATCCAGAGCCGAGGCAAAGTCGATCGCGAGCAGATAAGCATCGTGCATTATTATACACGGAGCAGCGAAAAGAAGAATATGATGAATAAAGCCGCCCATACTGACCCTGCAGAGTCATCGTGCAGGATGCCGACGACGAGCGCACGTAAAAGCTGCCAGCTTTGAATCTCCTTTCTTTTATTTCATCTGCCCCGGCTACACGAGCGAGCACGCAGCTCTCGACGTGCCGCATTTTTTCGTATTATTATTAAAGTGTATTGCTAATGACCGGCCGAGCGCGCGGAACGTGGAAGAATCGACGAGCTGCCTGCAACGTCGCATTTATATGTAAGTGTCAAAATGTCCTTTTCCGAGATTCGCGCCCTCGACGGATCGAACTATGGCAGTGCTTTGGCTCGATGAAAGCCTCGTCTCGTCCGATTCGTATTATAACGATTTGGCTTGAGAAAATTAAGATCCTTCGATCGGGCCGGCGCCAACAGATCTCACGAGGCAACAAAAGAACGAAATGTACGCATGTATGCTTGGATCTCTCAGGCTGTGTGTGTCGGCTGCTCTATAAAATGGCCAACTGCGGTTGTGCAGAATCATCGTTTGCCTATTTTTACATTGATTAATTAACGTTTCAATCGATCGAATCGAATCTCGCGCTATGGATGGACGCGCGCGCGCGCATCTTGTAAGAGCTGGCCCGTATATAATAGTTATACGGCGCGCGAGAAGTTCGTTTATGGCGGGCCGCGAACGATGGACACTCGCGGGCCCAGCGCACAATGGGTAGCAGCTTAAAATGTTCAGGAAATGATGAGGCTTTCTTTAAATCGCGACCGCCGCCCGCGTTACAGCTCGCACAGCGCGAGCCATCGCCGCTGCTACGACTGCCTTTCTTTTCTGCCGCGAATAAACGTGTAAGTACGCGTACTACTTTGTATGTAATACACTTACAAACGCATATAACTTTGCCCGATAACACAAGAGCCTCGACTTTCCAATCGTGTCCTTTTGCCGCGCGCGCAGGAGCTTGTTAATAAAAACCAACGCCGCCGCAGCGTAATTAATCTTACTTTTATCGATATCAAGCCTATATTATGACGCAGGTAATTACACGAAACTCGCCTTCGATTTTCTGCCAAACGAATCTGCATCGATAATCTCCCAGGTACCTTTATGACATCGCGAGCCACCAGGATTGTATATAGCCGATAAAGATCGCATGATTCGGCAATTTTCACCTCATAAGCCTTGATATGTGACTTCTATGAGATATCGCGCGGATGAATCTCTCCCTCTCTCTTTCTCTCTCTCGATACGACGCGAGAGATAGCTCGAGCCGTGCTTGCGCGAGATCAAAGCCAACGTGTGTGACTGCGATACAATATTTTTCGTGTAACTTTTGCCCTGTGAATCTTGTAAAGCGCGAGCGCGAGCGCAAGTCGGAAAATCGGCGCGTATTTAATGTCTATTAAGCGAACAAAAAAGGAGAGATACCGACGCGCTTTTTATCGAATCATCGAATTACCAAAGCCTCGCGCGTTTATTAGGTTCATCGAACGACCATATACATGATACATCGAATTATTACAAGGCAAAATTAGCCCGATCATGTAGCAATTGTATGCGTATTTAAGCGTACCTTGTCATCGCCACTTTCGGCTTTCTTTGAGGCTTTGAGCTTTTCCAACTTTATCGGATCTTCTTCTTGGATCTTTTGGTCGGTCGACTCGTCCGGCATAAGGTCGAGCTTGGTGGCCTCGACTGTGCATCCCAAGTCGATATCTTGCGTGATTAAGGCACTGATCATGTCCAGATCCTGCAAAAAGAAAAGTAACTTATTACTCGTGTGGCGATCGATAATTTCAAAGCGATCGCGTCAACTCGATGCTGCTGCAGATGGCTCACTCGTCCGAGACGATCGCGGCTGAGAAAAGCTAGTCGGCCAGAAACGTGCAACTTCCTTTTAGCGCCTCGACACGCTTTCGCCCGCCGCCACACAGGGCCAATAACAACGCGCGATCTACATAGATATAGCTTCAGGACACGTGGCGAATCTCGCCGCGATTTTGCATCCTTTCGCGCCTGCATAGCTTTCAATGAAACGAGCCGATGACAACTTTCTCGGATGTGTTGCAGTGAGAAAAAAGAGCTGTTTTCCTCGAGCGATAATTGTATTCGAGCGAGGTACGCGCGGGTCGTTTACCCTCTGCACGGACCAACTGCGTTTTCCTCCTCGCTGATCGCTGGGAAAACGGCTTACGCACGAACCGGATGCGATGCCGTGCATTTTTCGATCCAACTACAACTTGCGCACGACCGAGTGTCAACCCAGCGCACATAGACTGCACACATAACGCGCGAGTCGCATCGCGAGGATTTGCGGCGCGACAACGAGAAAACGTCAGGTGAATGCAGTTGGCCGGGTAAAGAAAAAGAGACAATCATCGTTGCTGTTCATATGAAAGTTGATGGGCACATGAAGATATGCGCGCACGCCCTTTCTTCGCGAGGCTGCGAGACCCGAGAGCGCGAGGCGTTGGTTCACCGCTACGACCCAAGTATTGTATGTATAAAGTCAAGCCAATCGCTTATTATGGCAATGGAAACTTTGTGCGCGCCTCGCGAACAATCGGCGCAGCTCTCAAGGCAACTAACTTCATAATGTACAATAATAAATTTGAAAGGCGTCCGATTTGCGCCTAGCTCTGCTCAAGTGAAACAACAGCATCGCCAGCAGGTGTAGCAGCTCGACGTGTTCGACAAAAATAATTCGGCCCGTACGATTCAAGAGAGCAAAGAGCTGCTACATTTTTTCTTACAGCGTTTTAGAATTTTAAAGGATGTTGTGCGGAGTGTAAATGGATTCGGAGGGAGTTGTACCGTGACCGCTTCCGTCTAACGTTGTTCTAGTAGAGAGACTTGAAAATTATGGATCTTGGATATGTTTCCGTATGTGCCGAGCTTAAAATTTTGATCAAGTTGATAGCCTGTGGGATGGAAGATACCTAAATTTTTTTAACCGCCAAATAAAAACTTCAAAAAATAAAATCGAAAAATAAAAAAGTTGAACTTGTCCTAATATTTTTAGTACCCATAAAAATAAAAATAAAAATTACAGTTTGCTAAAAAAACCATCGTTTTGTAAGCATCGGTGTGTCGGACGTAAGCAAAATGAGACATAACATATTGAAATAAAAGGAAATTCGCTGGAATAATTAGATGAAAGCGTAAAGGTCTGAGTATTAATGAGAATTGGATGCACGATGCAGTGCCTATACATCGAGCAAAGTGCAGCTACGTCTAATTTCCTGCTTTTAATTATTACTCATAAGCTGATTTCTCGCATTTATATTTCGCGAGCAGTTGCGGTGCCGATAGGTATATAGGGACGCCAAGGGAGAGCCTGGCAGGCAGTACAGCCAAAAGAATGAAGACGAACGAAGCAATCGCAATGGCGTCGCTCCAGCGTAAGCCTGTATACGTATATAGGTGCACGCTCGAACAACAACAATGAGCAAAGAGGGGAGTTTGATTAATGATATTTCACACAAAATCGGCTTTGGCGAAGTAGACGCGCAACATGGCGTACAAGCAAGCATAGCGAGTAGAAGTTATTCAATGTGTGTGCTGTGTTATATTCGCAGAGGCCCTCGCCGCCGCCGTCGCGCACACACACGTACACAGACGCACACAGAAAAGCAGCTCACGGAGCGGTGGGAGGCAACAAAATCTTCTACGAATGCGCGTTGAAAGCTTTCTCGCACACCCACGTCGGCGTCGGCGCTCTACGGCGGACGGCATTTTCCCTGCATATCGCCCGTTAAAGCAGCCTCCAGCCCAGCGAGCAGCAGCGGTGCCAGCGGTGCGCGAAAAAATGCGCGAGCCACCGACTCTCGAGAGCCGCTATCAATTTGCCTAGGAGCTTATATCTACGTGCATGTGATGCTGCTGCAAAACCTACATGCACGACTGATCGAAATTGAAAAGGAGAAAAAACAAGGAGAGAGAGAGAGAGAAAAGACGCGAAAGGAGCAAGCGTATACGATAATAAATGATCTCGCAGCCGCAGTGGCAGCTCCGAGAGGGGCTTTTAATTCGACGCGGGGATAAGGTAATGAATAGATGCGATACTCGTTGGGACGAATCGAAGCTCCGAGCAGATCCTATGCAGGCACTGTCTCACGCTCTCGATTCGCGATATGCGAGACCTCTGTATATAATACACGCAATGTTTTTCATCCATTTTACATCTAGCTGTCCCCCAACGGACGAGTTCTTTGGTTTACAGACTGCTCCTCGCTTGCCAACGCAACATCGCCCATCGTGCTTGAGAGAAAATCGACGGAATTTAATAAATCGAAAATATGAGCAATTTGATACTCGAGATTGTTCTTTATTTGCTAAATAATTTATATCGTTGCAGAATAGACAAATTTGGAAACTACGAGCGATCACGTTGGGAACGATACCGCATAATGCATTTTTTATTATTGTATCATTCTGCTTTCAATTTAAAAACCTCGTAGAAGGATACTTAATAACATTTGAAACTTATAATAGTACTGATACAAGTGTGTACGTTTAATAAAATCATATTTACTTACGTATGTCTTCGAGTCAAAAATAACAAATTAAACAATTGAATCTGAGAGAGCTTTTTAGATGTGTTTGAAAACTATAATTTTAACCGGTCTAAGATGAAAATCATGACTAAGATGATTTGATTTTTCCGAAAAGATCATTAGACTCATGACGAGCAAGGATATGACAAAAATCCGAAACGATACATCAATCTTTATTTTTTCAAGTTTATCGAAATTTCAACGCTTAAATCATTAGTTCCTAATTTCAATTAAATCTCGGTAATTTTGTTGATTGTTGAAAGTACCTTGAAGAATAAAAACAGTTATTTAATATAATTGAAAGTTATAAAACGGACTCAACAGAGAGAGAGAGAGAGAGAGAGAGAGAGAGAGGAGAGGCAACACAGTCAGTACAAAAATGAAAGTACTTGTTTATCCATGCGCTGATTAAAACGCAAGCGTCCAAAGATATAAAAGATAAACAAATATTTTAATAACAAAAAGTTAAGTGTTGAATCTTAGAAAGAACGACAAACATTATAAATGACAGGTACCGAGATTGTAGTTAGAGATCGAGGCTATTTAAATTAATTGATATTTACCACGAGTTGGTTGACAAGGTGCATTCATTTATTTCGCTCCAATATATACTGTTTTAGAAAAAATCAAATTTATCGACTCATTTTTCTGTGTATTCTATTGCGCTGAAAGTTCAGAGAGACTCGAACTAATTAAATGTTCAAATCTCTGTAAGAAGTTGTATGAAAAATACCAACACTTCAACGTAACCACTCGGCCTGAGTCAATTAATCAAGCATTGATTTTTCCATAAAGTAAAAATATAGATGCAGTAACTGATTGATTGATGTTACACTTAGAAATTAGAGTAAATGGAAGAATTAAGATTTAAACCACGAAATTATCATAAATTTGAGTCGAAAAGCCGAGGAAACAATAGTTCGTATAAATCAGATGCGTGGCACGTGCGCCTATTGAGACTGAAATGATCTTTCTTCCTCTTTCTTTCAAATACCTGTCAAATATGTGCCGTTAAACCGCCTGCGCAATGTTTATCTAACTAATCGATTCCAAAGAAGTGAGCAATTTGAAACGTAAAGGAAACTTCAAATAATATATGAACAGATGATGCTACCTAAATGCATAATAGGATCTCGAGGTAAGATATCGTTCAGGATTATAGTATACATATGCACATATGTTCGTATGCACTAAGAAAATATGTGTGATTGAAAATCAAAAATGAAATTTTCTTTATCAATTCAAATATAATATAATTATTTTGTTTTCAATTTCACATTTTTTTCCTTGTACATACGAGTAAAAGTGTACAACTATAATGTGCATGAATAATGCCTTTCTAATCTTGCATACAGTGAAGCTCAACGCCATCTGTAACGAAAGTCTCAAAGCTGATTTGGCGAGCAAGTTCACATTTATATCAGCGAAATTTTTTAATACAAACTTTATAATTTTCATTGATACATTTATGCGCGATGTTTTTTGATATTTTTATATAATTTTTGGGTAAATAAATTTGATGCTCGTATTATTTCACGAAATAAGCCTGTACTGAATTCATACTATTATAAATAATATTATTGCAGCTACTGCTATCTTAAGTAGAAAAATCATACTTATTGCGAATCATTAATCTATGAAAGATTTTTAAAACAACAATAAATCCGTAAAAATCGCTCGTTCTACCAATAACGTTTGAACATTTTAGTAAAAGTGATAATCGAATGAAAATTAAAACTCATAAGAGATGTTTGATAAATGATGAATGCCACTGATAAGCCATTGGGCCAGTTCGAGGTCGTAATGCAATCTTTCGTCGCATTTATTCAAAAATAGATACTAGTACTTAATAAGTCAGAAATATCAAACAATGTGTATCAGGGCGTTAAACTATCATATTAGCCAGTAAAATAAAATTATATCACAGTGTTTAAATAAAACAGTTAAAACAATCATTTAACATTTTACATGGCAACATTGAAAGTTAAAGTTGTAAATTATTGAATGAGTATATTACACCCAAATATATGACAGTACAGGACTTAGCTATGTTCTCTGTTTCTTTCGCACTGTAGTAAGTCGTACATAATAACTTGGAAATTAAAAATTCATGTTTTTAAAATATTAATGACTAAAATGTCACTGGATGTTCGAATGATTCAACCAAACCAAAAAAATTGTTGCTGGATCGGAA